TGACTGATGATGTACACCATTGAAATTACTATAATATCCACAAAACCCCTTCTGATACAAATCAAAATATGCCACTAATGATTGGATTCAAGAGGTATTTCCTGAAGTTCTATTCAGAAGCCGTGACTAGTGGAGTTCGACCGTGTCTGTTGTGAGATAGTAACTCACTGATGACAATGGCGGATATGTAGCTCAATTTCGTGGATCAGTTGAAGTTAGAAATTAACATCGTCGGATGCCGGCTCAGTGGTCTAGAGATTGGTAGGTCCTGGGTTCGAATCTCGTGTGGACAGGAGTCCCACAATAGGATAAAACAGCCTTCAAGTGCTTTCATGTTTTCCATGGTGGTCTTGCTTCAAATAACTCATGATCTCAACCATTGAACTTAATATTAAATAACTAAATTAACAATAGAAATAAAACTTGTTACCTAAAAGTTATATAGCTCAGCCTGTAGTCCTTCTACGGTTGCTATCAGTGATAATGTTTATGAACAACTAAATGACGATCCAAGTATGTTTAAATAAAGAGTTGCTGGTAAGATAATACAAACATGCTGAAATCGATTGTTAATCACCTAATCTATTCAATATGAATATAAGCATATCCGTACTGATTAAAAAGATTGTCTTCAATAAGAACAATTAAGGGAGAAATACATGTTAGTTAGTCAATGAATCAATCAATGAATTGTTCATTATTAACATAACTACAAATTAACATTTATGCCTGTTATCTTAACTTCCGGTAAAACTATCTCAACTTTACGAATTATCAAAACTAATGTCACATTATTATGATCAAAATGGATATTATTGTTAAGGAGTTGATATGGAAGTTCTCATTAGTGAATATTCAAGTGAATTGATTTGTGGAACATTTCTAATGACAAATCATATTCTGATGATAAATTATTCTCATCAAAATCATCACTACTCTTTCACACACACACACACACATTCACACCACACATACACACAGCACACATACACAGTCTGTATCTCTCTTCTTCAAATCTTGTAAATGTGATTTGAGTTACTAGACAAATGGAGTAGATGTTATCCACATTCATCAATATTATTGTTTATTCTCTGTATGTGAATTAGTGATTGTGACTGAATCATTGTGTTCTCAACACAATAGATATCATCATGGAACTGTAATTCACATATATCGGTTTGGTCAATTGGTTAGTGTGAATCGTCTCCACCAATACACACACGTACACGCACATTCACACACAAGTTAACCGTGTAGATAACCTTAAACAAACCCACAGTAGTTATCTGTTAAATAAGTAATGCTGGTGAGAGGGCAATCGCGTGTGTGGATTTTGACTCCGCCAATGACTGATTGAAATATGTTCAATGCACTGTAATGTAGTGTAATGTAAAGTGGAACGATTGCATGTCGACCATTACATAGTAGTCCACACATCAATACTTTGACGAGTGGTGAGTGGATTGAGTTCGGTGTTGTTAAATCATTGTTGTGTATTAGTTTTAATGATGTTGTGTGAGGTGAACGATGATAATGTAATTGGTGTGATGTTCACTGTGATGTTAGTGAACAGATCGATGTGTTCCCTTCATTGAGGTATGACTGTACAATCATAAAATGCAATTGTGACCACGAACATTGATCAGAGTGAGTGTTGTTATGCAATGTGGTAACTCCATATGCGTTGATCGAATCAGTGATGAGTTACTGTTCTAATGATTGTGAAGATTGAGAGTGGTCTACATTGTCTGATGAACACTGCAAATTCCACTACCGTTTATATTTCTCAAGAGTTGTGATAGTTTGGTAGTACACACATCCTCGACATGGTGACAACATGGACACGAGTGATGGAGAATATTTGAGTCGAAGTGTTGTGAATGTGAAAATTCGACATACAGATAAATAGACAGAGGGATTGATAGATAGATAGGTAGATAGACAGATAAATGATTATCGAAATACCAGTTGGGATCAGTGTGATCATTGAGGCGTGTTCGAATCTCAGCAATTGTGTACATGTATAGTTTTTGGAACATTGCTATGTTTATATGTGTGAGTGTGTGTGTGTCTGTGTGTGATGAGAGGCATGACAATGATGAACATAGTCAATAGTAATTTTCGTCTATTAAATTGTATCTAAATCCGATCAAGAAATGAGTAGAAATCACTGACTGATTGTTTATCCGGTCACTTTCCTATTAACATGTGTGCAATTTGAGTGTATGTGTGTGTGTGTTTATATCTATATATTTGGGTATGCAATCAGATTGAATGTACAGTGAGGGACATTACTGGACTGAGACATTCACTCATCACTATGAGATGTAACGATTTTCTTGTTGATGGAAATCTGTGTATTCAATTCAAACATAACTGTAATTCGTAATATTATGAATATTGTGCCCATCACTACTATTCCCACTCCTACAACAACTACTCCTACAGCTACTTCTGCTACTCATCAATTTGTTCTACTTGATTTAATCGATTGGAAATTATGAATGGTGTTGTTTCAAATTGTAGCAATGTGTTCACACTTTCCAACTGAACATATATTGTAGTAAAATGAAGCATGAATCTTACCATGGTGACCACACCATTGTTCTACTTATGATTACTTTAGTTCATTGTAATGATTTAATAATTGAAATATGTGTATTGGTATTTGATGGTGATATTTAATTGAGTATGTATGGACAAGATGTTATTTGGAAGTGATTGGGGTTAGTGGTGATTTGCAGCGATCTACTTACTCATTGTAAATTATAATGAATTTCACTAGTTCTCAATTGTAACGTGTCGAGTGATACGTTGTAAGTTAATCTTTCCTAATTCTCACACCTCTACTTCGTTCAATATATTACAGCGGAATGCATCAGCTACTATGTATTTGTGTTTGTTGATCAACTCAGTGTGTGTTCTTGATCACACTGTTTGTGAATCTATGTAGTTTGATTAACTTGGATAATTTGCTTGATGTGACTATGTGTTTTCATTGAAATTATGAATCAATGTATGTGAATGAGTGTTGAGAACATGTGAGCATTGAAGATGTGATTCGTTGTAGTTTGACACTGCTTATTGATAATATGCTCCCTGATCCCTGTTACTGTTATTCGAACTTCGACGTTGATTTCGCTAGTTAGCTTTTAATTTCTGGACTTCTATTTTAGCTTCCATCTGTGTTAATTTTCAACTTCATGCAATCCACAATATATTATGTCTATCTTGGTTCGTCCTCTGTGGATAACATCGTAATGTGCCACATAATTTCACTCCACGAATCATATTTTTCTACTATACTTCCTTGTTGTTACTCTTAAATAAACCCACTTGTGAGCCTACTGTATCTGTCATTTATTCTAGTCTGTTTTAAAAGATGCAAAATATCCCTGATATTTTGTCGCATGTTGATAATTATTATAATAAAATTAGGTTTCAGATATTCTTCTGTTCTGATTGTGCCTGATAATTTGATGTCTGTAATTCATTACTTACTTGCGCCTGTTACTTCCAATGGAGCATAGGTCGCCGACCAGCATTCTCCAACCCACTCTGTCACGGGCCCTATGTTCTAATGTTACTGCTTATGTAGAATTGAATGAGAACCGTTGGTATTGTATTTGTTTACTCCTGGACTCGAACTCACTACCTTTAGCTTCAAACGTTATCGTGTTATCCATTTAGCACTAAGTTCAGAGAGCCACTAACTTGTGTAATCGATTAAATTTCAATTTATACACATATTGGTTCCTTGAATATTTCTATCGATGCTTAGGTCTGTAATTGATCAACCACTTTTGGTGTATGTACATCATGTACCAATGGTCTCGATATTATCACCAAATCACAAACATTATGGATGGTGGTGCTTGCTGAATTCTACTGTTAACTACTATCCACCTCTGCTCATAATGCTGTGATTTACTAGCAATAACAAGCCAATACACATAGCATAGACCTATGAAAAAAGACATTGACCTGTTGTAGTCCTAAACATCAATGGGACGATCCAAATAACGAGTAATTATATATGGATTACAATATTTGTCGAATAGATACAAATATAGATATAGTTTGCCTACTTCAATGCCGACGATGTTAAAAGTGATGGGGATTTTGTATATTTTTCAATTTTTACGCGGTGATAACTGTTTTAATAATTTTGGATTGACTAATCAATTACAGTGTTTGATAATAATGGCAATAACGTAAATTCATAAACATTTACGGTCAAAACCTCATACCCGTTGAACAAGTAAGTGGTTAACTGGACTCATTTTATTAGTGAAAATTGTATTAACGTTTAAACTGTTCAGTTTCTAGGTGAATATCAATAGTATGATGTAGATATATTCAGTTGATAAGTGGTAGGTGAGTCGAAACTCGTATCCTTGTTTCTACTACTACTACCATGGAGACTAACTCATAATAATTATAGTTTTAAGCATGGATAACTACTGGCAACAGAGTAATCACTGGATAGTTGTTTTATCCTAATAAGAGACAACATATTTAGTGCACAACCACGAACCTGTTAAAAAAATTGATTCCACGAATTTCGAGTCCGTCAATAAGAGCGTGTGTGACCACTATTGATAAGTTTCTCACTAGGATAAAATACCTAACTATGAAGAGAATCATATTTGACTGAACAATGATCTGTTTATCATTATAATGATAATATATTTAATATTAATACACTACTTAACTACTTTGATAATTAGTAATATATTACCAAAAACTCAGTATAAACTGTAATGGCTCATGTAATCTCTTCATACTCTGCTATTTGTGATCACATTATAACTATTTCCTCAGAATAGAATATTTAGAAAGGGGTCATTTCTAAACTGACCAATCAGATTGCTAAGCGTAAATTCCTGTTTTTTGATTGGTCCATTTAATTAATCATGATAATGATGGTAATAATAATTAAATCATAGAAAAAATATATTAAATAATAACTAATTATTAATATCCATAAGAAGTATAGAATGGAATTTAAATCTCCTATGAATATGAATAATTTATCAAAAAAACATTATCATCATAATGAACATTCATTAACAAATCAATATTATAAAGAAATGTTTCATTCAAAAGAATGTCTTCCTAATCAGTTACCATTATTACATAATAATAATAATCAGAATAACTTTTCTTATTTAATGACAATGAATGAAAATACTAATTCTAATCAAAATTATAAATGTGAACAATCAATGATTCAATCTATATACCCTTCAATAGAAAATCAATTCATACCATCATCATTATCATCACCATCATTTACATTGGCAACATCGTTAGCGTCGACAGCATCCTCATCATTATTATTATCATCATCATCATCAATACAGACACCAATTGTAAATGAAGTGAAATATTCTAATCATTTGAATTATATACAACATTTTAATTCACAAATGAAATCCCCGATGTATGATTTAAAGCCTACATCAATGTATCATCATCGTAACAATACTTGTGTTAATAATAATAATAATAGTAATAATAAATTTTCAAAACACACTGATGGATCAAGTTCATTAACCTATGGATCGACAGAGACGGTAAATTCCAAAAACCCAGCTATATTCATTCACAATAAACAACCTTTAATGAAAAATGATAAAATTTATAAAAACACAGAGTTGAATGATATTATTAATTGTAATTCTAGTGTTGAAGAAGGAGATGTTGATAATGATGACGTCGATGGGAATAATAATAATGATGATGATAATGAGGAGGAGGAGGAGGATGACATCAATGATACAGTTGAAGAGAGTGAAGATGTCTCCTCCAGCAATTGTACTGATGATATTCAACATTTATGTCAAGTAAGTTAATGTTATTTGTAGCCTTGATTTATGATATAATCTAAGATAACAAGAAAATTTCTCGTCTCAAGTTGAAAAATTGTTTAATTATATGTTCGTATCAAGTATATTACTACTACTACCACTACTGTGGTATATGTTACTTATACAGACAGATATAAGTAGTATGTATCTAAAATTGAAAGTAGGATTCTCACTGACAGAAGAGAAGATTCGAAGAAGAGGAAGAAAAACAGAAGCCGTCTGGAAAGCAACAAGAATGATGGAACAAGTACGTTTGTAAGAAAAAATTGATGGAAAATAAAAGTTACCAAGGTATAATGAAAGAATTACAATTTTTTCCTGTCCAATACATAAGTTCGGGTACAACTATTATTACTCGTAACAAAACTGTAATGGACTAGAACACAGGCAGAGACAACCAAATGTATTTCAACACAAAATTACAGAACTTCTTTGTAAAATCTGAAAATCATACAGTAAATACTTCATTTACAAAATATCCATTAATTGTTTTAGATTTTATTGTCCCCTCATTTCTATACCATTCAGTTTCTGTTGCTATTCCTTTCTATTCGATCTTCTCAACTTTCTGCTGTCAGGTATCCCACTTTCGACTGGTGATACATACTACTTATATCTGTCAACATCAGTAACACACACCACACTACAATAACTACTAATAATACTATAATTTTTCTCATAGATAAATTTTGTAGAAGTAAAAATATAGAGATTAGCAGAATGAGATGAATTGATTTCAATGTTATGGATCCTCATCAGCTGTTACATATAGCCTAGAAACAACCATACAAGGTATTGACAACTAATGTACTTACTTTACATCATATTCAAACAAGGATTAATCAAATAATGGTAACAAATACATAAGGATTATCAAGAGATACATAGAATGAATAAATATTAAATGTGAAAAGTTTAATAGGAAAATAATAATACAACAAATACAGACACTTTTATATCAATGTTACGTAATAGTAATCGTAAAAAGCTCAAAAGAGACCCACAAAATGAAAAGAAACTCAGTGACCTAAAGGTTAAGTGTTTGCGTACAAGACCGAAGATCCTGAGTTCGAACTCCGAGTGCAGGATCGTGAATGTGCACTGCTGTAGAGTTCCCATACTAAGATAAAACGGACGCCAAATACTTCTAGGTTCTCAATGGTGTTCTAACACTGATCGGTTTATAATCTCAACAAAGCACAACAATCTCCACAACCCTATACTGAATAATGAATTTGTCAGTACAAATATAAGATAAAATATTGCCTAACTGATTAATGAAAAATAGAAGTTACCAAGGTGTAGTGAAACATTTACATTGAATACATTTATATGGCTACAATGTTTTAATAATAATAGTCTCTAGGATAAAGTTTTCAATTCTAAATGGTTTGAGTATTGATTGATAATTTTGAAATTTTCTAAAATATCAACATTTATGCATGGCTGTAGAGAACAAGATCTCAGATGAAGGGCAACCAATTTATTATTTAACGCAAATTTACAGGGTTCTTTTGCCAAATTTGAAAAACCACACATTAAATACTATCGATAGTCTCAAAGTTTATGGTTCATTCATTGACATAACAATTACTCTCTGTTCCTATTCTCTTCAGTCTGATCTTCTCAACCTTCTAATGCCAGGCATCCTACTCCTTATTATTGATACATACTACTTATATCTGTCGACATAAGTAGCATACACTACACCATGATTAAGATAACAATCACACTTTTGAGAATACATTGATCTTTTTAATGTTAATTTTTGTGGAATAAGTTATGAGATTTCAACAAAAAAATCCTCCGTTGTGCTTCTTCAATGTAATTGTTTCGACATGAACATGTAAACTGCTAAGGAATTTGTACATCTTTGTTTACTTAAATGAAAAATTCGTTTGATTCAATATAATACATCCTTATCAATACACCACTTAGTCTGAAGTGAATTATGTTAGCTATTTCATCATTAATGATGCCAAACATTTTATTTGTTCTTGGTTTTCTGTAAATATATATGTATATTTAATAGTTGAATTCATGAGTCAATTAAAGCGAGAACACCATGGAAAACCTGGAAGCACTGGACGGCCGTTTTGTCGCAGTATGGGACCCTTTAGCAATGCGCATCCACGATCCTGCTCATGGGATTCGAACTCAGGACTATTAAATAAGTAAGATCTCCACAAATCCCCCTCTGATAATTACCATCATGTGCCCACTAGTGACTAGCTTCAAGAAGTATTTCCTGGCGTTCTAGTTAGAAGTAGTGACTAGTGAAGTTCAACCACTTCTGTTGTGAGATAGTAGCTCACTGAAGACAATGGTGAACGGTGGCGCAATTTCGCGAATTGATTGAAGTTAGATATTAACACTGTTAGATGTCGACTAGCTCAGTGGTCTAAAGGTTAAGTGTTCGCGCGTGAGGCCGTCAGGTCCTGGATTCGAATCCCACGAGCGGAACTGTGGATGCGCACTGCTGAGGAGTCCCATATCGGGACGAAACGGCCGTCCAGTGCTTTCAGGTTTTCAATATTGGTCTAGCTCCAACTGACTCATGAATTCAACCATTAAATTACTAAATTCTTTACAAAACTTCCTTCTGATAATATATACACAGCAAGAGCTTGTGTGCCGCCACTGAAACGGCATTCGATGAATTATTTATTTAATGTTAATCAGTTCACAGTACTGCGAAACTATTTGTACCTTTCAGTAAAAACTATTATTCTGCTGTTGTCTATAATAAGCTTGATCAACGAATGTTTTATTGATTTTCAAGGTATGCGGTGATCGAAGCAGCGGTAAACATTATGGTCAGTATACATGTGAAGGGTGTAAAAGCTTTTTTAAACGTTCTGTACGTAAATCAGCCAATTATGTATGTAGATCTGGTGGACAATGCCCAGTCGATGCACAAAGACGTAACCAATGTCAAGCATGTCGTTTATCACGTTGTTTATTAGCTGGTATGAAAAAATCTGGTATGTTATTAATTTTAATGAATAGTTTACAACAATTTGAGAATATATAGTACTGATTATTTATTAGTTAGTAGTGTTGTGTTTGTTTATTTCATTTCATTCGTAATGTTCACACATTGAATTTAAGAAATAACACTTTTTTTGGTTATCCTCCACTAAGGATGTCATGTTGATCTTCAAAATCCACTTCCCCATTAAAATATACCTCGACGTCGTAACTATCAGTATACAGGTTTGTGGATATTACATAATTTTCATAGTTTTTAAATTGTCAACTGATCTTAGTAACACAACCATCAGAAACCTGAAAGTACTGGTTTGCCGTTTCGTGCTAACAAGGGAACCTTCAATATTGTAGGTCCTCGACTCTACCAATCTTTTACACAAACACTTAATATCTAGACCACTGAACCGGGATCTAATGGTGTAAATGTTGAATTTCAGTCAATCCGTAGCACTTCACGATCATTTTTGATTGTCTTCAGTGAGTACTTTCTCCACACCCGACATGGTACTTGTAACTATTTCTCTTCCCTTTTGAGTTAGATGAATGTTTATATATCACTAATGAGTAATTTATAGAGGTTTATTCAATTTTTATACTGTTTTTCTCATGAATTGAGATGAATTGGAGAATTATTGACAGTTAATTATGACTATAATACTTAGTTTATACCGAATAAATGGAATCCAAGTGTGTGTATGTGTGTGTACGTGTTTCATCCTACTTTGAACTCGTCAGTTAAATGTGTCTATATCTCAGGTGATTTGTTACTGACTTTGGGATTAAAACACAATAATTTTTACTTCAAATCCCTATGTATCGTTTATCTAGTTACCAAGTTCAGATATATCGATCTAATCTACATAAAATCCAATATTATGTCAATTAAGACTGTTCAAAATTCAGTCAAACTATCAACAACACAATAATTCAAAACATTAAATGTTAAATGAATACTCACTTTATTTTATGCCAAATATTTGATTATAGGAATGAATTCTCAATTTGTAAAACAGTGATTAACTGTGATTGTTTACGATCAGTCTTACTCTCGTAACACCTCTTAACATATGAGTATTCTATAATGATCACTTCTCTTAATTTCCAATGATGAAACTACCAAATATATGTATCACACTGAGAGTACTTCTCAAGGGTCATAGTAATTAGTTTAAAGGATAGTTATATAAATGATATATGAATACTCATCATTACATGTTGCTTTAACCATTAATAATAAGTGAGAATTTATATGAACCAACACAAGTTTTAGAGTAACCCATCAATTGAATTAGTAATAACTATGTAGTCAATTCACTGTAGTTTAAAATTTCTCAATAAATTACCTAATTAAAATAACATAAATATACAAATGACAGTAGTGGATTCAGATGACGAGTCCCAAGAAGGACGAAACGTACATGTTAAGTTTTACGATTAGCTATCAGACAACTTTTATTATATTCAATAATATCAACAAATTGATAGAAAATTGGATGTAAATAGATGAATTGTATTTTGATAAGTTGAAAACTTTTGCTTCATTGTATTATGAATGTAGTGAAGTTGAAAATATGAACAACTGGATTTCAATTCTATAATTTGAAGGGAACATTTTTCACAATAAGATTTAAAAGTGTTATACTTTATTCTTGGTAGTTTCAACAATGTACACTACTGAAAATATACTTTGAATGAAATGAGTCTTTCACAGGGTAAATAAAGAAGTGGTCTTAGTTTAAAAAAAATAGTTGTTTCGTCCTAATATAGTGCTCTTCAGCACTGGAGATCCACAATTCAACCATGAATTCAATTCAGTATCTATTCACACTAAGAGATAAAAATAAGGTTGGTATAGAAAATGTTGTTGTTTTTTTTTTTTAATCAAAGTTGACCAAAATATTTGTTTGACTAATATCATTGAAAAGATCGAAATCATCTGTACTCTTTTTGTCATAAATCACTTGAATCTGATTAGATATTTATTTCAATAGTTGTGATCATGAGTCAATTGAAGCTAGACCACCATGAAAACCCTGTAAGCACTGGACTCCTTAGCAGTTCGCATCCAAATTGAATTACTGTAATAACCACGAAAACCTCTTCTGATACTAATCAGTATATGCTCACTAGTGATTGGATTTTAGAAGTGTTTCCTGGAGTTCTAGTCAGAAGTAGTAACTAGTGGAGTTCAACCGGGTTTGTTGTGAGATAGTAACTGACTGAAGACAATGGTAGATGTATCGCCTAATTTCGTGGATTGGTTAAAGTTACACATTAATACCGTCGGATAAGGGCCCTGGGTTCAAATCTCACGAGTCGGGATTGTGGATGCTCACTATTAAGGAGTCCTACAATACCACGTAACGATCGTCCATTGCTTCCACGTTTCGCATTGTGGTTCAGCTTCAATTAACTCATGATTTCAACTATTAAATTACTAAAATATCCAAAAAAAAAACCCTACAAACATTCATTTCTTTAAATAGAAAATATATAACCTAAACTATTTAAACTGATTATCTCATCTAGTTGCTTATCTATTGATCGGTCTTTATGTCTTCCTCTTGGTATTATTCATACTCCCTATCACTTTTTATAACTCTCATGCATACAGATACATAATGATAAGCAAAATAATCTATCAACAGTTTATTTCGGTGTTGCTATGTCACTACTGTTACCACTAACTACTACTATTACTACTACTAGTAGTAGTAGTAGTATTATCATTATTAATGTGACAAGTTAATTATACTCTACATGGATGATATAAAGAAGAAAAAAATGAAATGAATTTCCCATTTTATGTTTTATGTTTTATATTATATCATTATTACATAGTCAATTTATCATTTAAACAAAATGGTTGTTAACTAAATGCTAATTAAAAAAAAAGTTTTTTTTGTCACACGCGAATAGAATCCCATTTTTCTTTTAATGTTCGTTTTCCTATTGATTAGGAAGGAGATTCTTTTTGTTTTCGGGGTGGAAAGAGAAACCACTCTCTCTTTCGTCCCCCTCCACTTTTTCCAATGAAGTTCGAATAATATACAGATTATAACAAATATTTCTAATGAGGAAAGCCAAAACAATGAATACCATGGTGATATAACTCAAAGTAATCTTAGTACAATAGTGTAGTAATAGTAGTAGTAGTAGTATAGATTTAACGAATAAAAAAAAACACAACCACTTGATAGATAGACAGATAGATAAATAATGTGTCTTTCAGTTGAGTTCAAAAAGGTTGGTGGCGTTAAAAAAAAAAAGAAGAAAACGAACTAACTATACCGATGAAAAAAAGTTAAAGCATCAAACGTAATGCGGGTGTAAAAAGAAGTCAACAAGGCTTCATTTTATTTATTCATTCATTCATTCATTGAAACAAATAACGGTACTTAGGGATTAGAGACGATTGAATGAATGAAATGACACATAAAAAAAGATGAGTGAAAGAGAGAGAATATTTTTTGAAAGAAAAAAAACTGTTTAGAAAAAAGCAAATAAACTATGTGAAGAGAAAGAAGAAAATAAACATCTAGGAGGGGGAGAGGGGGGGAGGGACATAATAACATTGAAGATTAGGAAAAGTGATCTACTTGAATAGAAGTGGTAAACGATTATTTATTATAAAAAGTAAAATAAATAATCTACTATACTTAATCATATTTAGTAATCTATGCAATAAGGCAAAATAAACCCATTTTTTAAGTTAATGTATATGACCTAAGGCATAGTGAATCGGATAATGAATTCATATTTGAAAGGATTTTGTGGATATTATAGTAATGTTTTAATAGTTGAATTCATGAGTTAATTAAAGCTAGATCACTATGGAAAATCTGGAAGTACTAGGCGGCCGTTTCGTCCTAATACGGGATTCCTCAGCAGTGAGCGTTCAAGACCCCAACTTACAAGATTTGAACCCATAACCTATCAGTCTCACAAACGAACACTTAACCTCTAGACTATTGAGCCGGTCGGCAACCAGTTGTGTTAATGTCTAACTTCAATTAATCCATGAAATTGAGCGACACATTCACTATTGTCTTCAGTGAGTTTCCATCTCAGAACAGACCCGCTTGAACTCCACTAGTCACTACTTTTCACTAAAATCCCAGGAAATACCTCTTGGAGACCGCCATTAGAGAGCATATGATTGTGTTCTAGCTTCAATTGACTCATGATCTCAACTATTAAAAAGGAATCCATATTTGTAGATAAGAATATTAAGTTAGTTTAATCATGAAATTATTTCACATCATTGATTGACTTTAGTTAGACAACACTGAAAAGTTTTGTTTCATTCTACTGTGAAACTCCTTGTTGGTGCATATACACTACCATTGGATAGACTGAATTGAGAATATTCAAGTCTCATGACACTGCCCACCTATAACACCACTACAAGGATAGTAAAACAGTTATCAACTGCAACCAATGGGAGGTAGTCCCACGAATTGATTGAAGTTAGATATTAACACAATTGGATGTTGGCTTAGTGGTCTACAGGTCAAGTGTCCTTGTTCAAAACTGAATATTCTGGGTTTTATTCCCTGTGGTGGTGATGTGTGTGCAAACTGTTGAGAAATCCCATGTAAGGACGAAATGGTCTTCTAGTGTTTCTGGGTTTTTCATGGTAGTCCTATTAAAATTAGTTCGTGATTTGAATTGTTAAAAGTTCTACAATAACCATGAATCCTTCACTATTATGTAATAACCAGCAGATGTCATTTGTTATGGTCAGGATATAATCATAGTTTAATGGATACCTTGATACATTGTGATACATAAGACAAGATTGAAGAAACGGTAAATCTCTGAACTAATTTACGGATTATTGGTGTATATATTCTCAACGTATAATTACTAAGTAACAAGATATTGACACCAAGAATCCAATCCGATGGTTATCTAAGTGGGTAACGAGTTGGATGTCCGAAAGTCAAAGTGTTGGGGTCGAGTTACTGTGTGAGTATCCGGTACATCCAGATGACGAGTTTCAGATACGATGAAACGCACGTCATCTATTTCACTACTAATCAATATCAAACTTTAATTCATTTTTACATCAGTTATTTGAATCTTCCCATTAATGTTTAAAACTACAATTGGTCAGTCTCTTTTGATATATGTACATCCTGTGTGGACTATTTCAATATTAATTTAACTCACCAGCATTATAAGCGCTTGAAGCCAACAGTACTAGGTTCGAGTCCCAGAGTGAACATCAATAATTTTAGGATGCAGGCACATCCAGCTGGCAAGTTTACTTAGAAAAATCGTTTTATGTAAGACAATGAAATTAAAAGTAGGACTTTCCATGGACAAAAAACATCTTTTTTTTAATATACTCCCCATGTGTATGAGTATATAGACAGAGAGATAGATACCAAACTGTTTAAGCGGTGTGAATTAAGCCCTGATCATTAAAAAATAAAACAGAGAAATTATTACTATTCGTGTGGCATATTTTCTCATCCATCCAATTGTCATAGTAACCAATCTAGAATGAATGATCATGTAAATAAAATGTGTGTTTTCAGGGGGGAGGAGGAGGTGGATAAGTGATGTGAAGGGAAGTAGATATTTTCTTTCTACTTCTCATTAACATGAGTTTATGTCACTTTTGTTAGATTATGTGGTGTATGTGTGTGTGTTTTGTGTATAAACATTTGTATGTGTATAAATGCATATGGTTATGTGTACATATGTAATATTTGTCTGTTTGCATAGGGTAAGTAAACTGTCGATTATTTAATCGAATAATCTTATTCTCCATTCAATGTACAGTTTAATTGAGAAGATTTATGAAACGTTATATTATCATAATAAATTCATGATTATTATTGTCTTTATTGATTAAGATTTGATTTATAATCTTCATTTAATGAATAGTAACCGTAAATGGATTCGATTAGTGGTTGCAAATTAGTGGATGGGACTCAGTCAGTCAGATACAACGTACGATCAGATACATATATGCATCGGTCCAAGTTGCCATATCACATTAGCACAACAAGATGAACACCGGATTGATAGAAGTAGTTACTTCAATGGTATTAATGTATATACAAAACAAAGATTACATCTAAGGATATAATACAGAAAGAAAGAATTAGTTGATAGAAAGAAAGATACAGAGAACTTTTAATCTCAGAGTTTAAAAAGAAGACAGAGAGTGTATACATCTACGTAATTGCGATCGATTCTGAGTCATGTCACCAAGAGTCTCCAACTATCGGTGACGATAGTCACACGGAACCCAACCAAATAGTCAGTATATACCAACATGGCTCAGACCAGAAGTTAATGACTCCAAGCACTGATGTCTCGTTTTGGTTTGGCCGCCTCTAACTTTCTTCCAATTATCCCCAACACCGGTTAGCATTGCACATCGTGGTAATCGGTGTTCAGGCATACGCAACACGTGGCCCAACCATCTCAGTCCTATATTAAGACAAAACGGTTATCTAATGCTTCTAGGTTTTCAACGATTGTCGATCTTAAATTGGTTAGTGATATTAATAATATGAAACAATCTGAGGTAGTTAATAGGAAAGTTTATGGATAATTTTAAAGAAATCGATGATGGTTGCATCGTTCAAATTTGTGTCATCCAACTTCACAATCTGAGACGTTATCATTGAGTCACATTACTTAATCAACAGAATTCGATCAATTATGAAGACTTAGACAAACATGATCTTTTTTGTATAGTACCCTCTTTGAGCTGCAGAAGTGTCCTTCTGAGTAATATCATAAGTGCTTAATTCAAGTAGAAATATTTGATAATTATCGAATTCAGATTCAGTAGTGAAATGACTACGCTATATCTAAAATGCAAGAGATATGTCGGTCCAAGTTGTCATACAATAAGATGAACACCAAATTCAAACAAGCAGTTACTTCTAGTGTTTCCAGGATGTTTAATGGTGGTCCAGATTAGATTGACTCATGAATTCAACTATGAACAGGATACATTCTCCATAAATCCCTAAAACTAATAACTATTAATGATTATAAAATATGGTTTCCTATCGATCATTACTACTGAATTTGATGGTGGATGTGTCTCTTAATTTCATGGATTAGTTGAAGTTAGACATTAACACCATTGGATGCCGGCTCATTGGTCTAAACTTTAAGCGTTCGCGCGTGAGACCAATAGGTCCTGAATCCGAATCTCGCGAGGTGAGATCGTGGATGCGCATTGCTGCGGAATCACACAATAGAACGAAACGACCGTCCAGTGCTTCCAGGTTTCGCATTGTGGTTCAGCTTTAATTGACTTATGATCTCAACTATTGAAATTACTATAGTATCCACGAAACCCTTCTGATATTAATCAACATATGCTCACTAGTGACTGGTGTCAAGAGGTATTTCCAAGGGTTCTAGTGAGAAGCAGTGACCAGTGGAGTTGTGAGATAGTAACTCACTGAAGACAATGGTAGATGTGTCGTTCGATTTCGTAGGTAAAAAATTCGATTTATGTGAGGCATGAGATACTCTCCGGGTGTCCAAACCGAATCAGGGGTCCACACCCGAAGCCTTTGACCCGAAGTTATATTCCATAAGGCGGTGGAGGAACGCAAAGAGATGCAGTCCCATGGTAGCCGGTGACCAATAATTGGTTCATACGTCATTTGTTCACTCAGGATATTGTAGTCCATGTGCACCATTGGTTTGGAATCAGGATTTTCCAACTCTCCTAGGTGTATCCTCCGTGTCCATCAACCCAGTTAATACACCCGGCGGACATTCGCTTCTCGTCCTCTCAATTTCGTAGACAACACCCCCACCACGAGAGTGCAGTGAGTAGAACTTTCCTAGCAGTGGTTATATGCACGTGACCATGTGAGAGCATTTCGAGAGGGAGAGGTGACTCTCCCCACTCTCGGCCGTACCAAGGCATTTGTAGGGCAAAGCGGTAACCATTAATGATTATAAAATCTAGTTTCCTGTTGATTATTATTAGTTTAGAAAACGTATCTATCTTAAATATCATAATACGATATTGAACATTTTAAGAAAAATGATCGTTAACTGTATTATTATTTCAATTCAATTTACTTATTATTTAGCTGTTCAACGTGCACGAGCTAATACACAAACTTATTTATGCTCAACAACACCATATTCCTCTTATCCAGTTATTGCAGCTGCAGCAGTTGCTGCCGCTGCTACCGCTTATCTTCATGGAACAGTAACTAATCCTACTCCTTCTATCCCTACTCCTACTACTCCTATTAATACTCCTACTAATAATTTTATATTAAATTCTACATTCACTGACAACTACAATCTATCAGATCCAATCAAATTATCAAATTTATATATTCCAACAACTAGTCAATATATTACTACTACTACTACTTTAAATGATCATATGAATCATTTACCTCAACCATATTATTATGAACAATATGAGCATACATTGAATACATCTAATATACACTATTCCAAACTATATAATCAGCCTATTTCTACAAGAAGATATATATCAAGTAATTCAATGAATAAACCAACAGAGAATATCGTTACATCGTATTTACCATTTATTAGTAATAGTACTAGTAGTAATAGTAATACTTCATCAATGGTAACCTACAATTATCAGCCATCAACATTACATCATCATCACAATCATTATGCAACACGTTTAAATCTACAACAAAAATCACCATATGGTTATTATCATCCTCATCCTCATCCTCATCATGATCATGATTATCATTCAACATCATCACGTTCAACTTCAATTAGAATGACTACACCAATCATGACAAATTTTAATAATATAAATATGAATCGTATTCATCAATATAATACTACTAACAATACTACTGATAGTAACACTACCACTACTACTACTGTTACTATGGCTACTACTACTACTACTAATAATAATAATAATAATAATAGTAATAGTAGTATAAGATGTGATTTAAATCAAGAATCCAATTCATTTAGACAACCAGATTCATCTTCATCATCATCATCATCTAAATTAGCATCATTCACCTCAACCACTATACATCGTCAAACTATTCATTCATTTATCATAGATATAAAGAAAACATTAGAAGAATGGATATTGATCAATGATATAACATATTCAATAGATACTACTAATTATTTAAATTATAATTATCATATAGAATTAATGAAATTATGGTCCAATAAATTATTAAAACAAATCTCATTTATATTAAATAAATTACATTCATTTAAACAAATATGGATTCAACGTTTCAAGAATATGGCGGGAAATTCAAATTCATTTCATATACATCATCATAATGATCATGAAGAAGAAGGAGAAGAAGACAATGACAACAACGACGACGAAGAAGAAGACTATTTATGGATCAATGAATTAATTTCACAAATAGAATTTTATGAATTACAAGAATATGAAGTGAAAACATCAATTCAATTAAAAAGTATAACACCAATACCTGATACAACTCAAATTATGATATGTGAATTAATAGATAAAGAATGTGAATTATTATTGAATCAATCATTGTCAACACTTAGTTTAATGCATATTTGTCAAGTAAGTAAAGTATAAATTAGACATTAACACTATTAGATGATGGTTAAGTGGTCTGTAGATTAAGCGCTTACATGCGAGACCGAATGTTCTGGGTTCGAGTCCCGTACGGGGAATCATGAGTGTGTGTCACTGATGAGTCCCATGCTGAGGCGAGAAGACAATTCAGGTTTTGAATGGTGATCTAGCTAAGTGGTTTACAGGTTAAACGCTTGCATGCGGCACAAAGGGTTCTGAGTTTGAGTCTCGTACTGAGACGAAACGAACGTTTAGTTGTTCCAGGTTTCCAATGGTGATCTAGTTTAGATCAATTCGTTATTTTAACTGTAAGAAAAATATTTATAATGAATTGTTATTATTATTAACTGGAAAACTGTTCCAAGTCAGAAATCATTACTTTGTCTTAAACTGAAACTCCTTAGTAGTGAGCTAATAATAATCAATCTGGTAACATTAAGATCCTATAGTAAAAACTTGACCTTCAGACCACTAAATTTTGCATCTATTCGTTAACATTTCTAATTTCATGATATTGAACAACTATCATTCATGAACACATAATATTGATCACACATTCTAGATGGTAGAACTTCATCAGTCATTGAGCTTTTCACTAGGAACAGTTAGTTACTAACAGGCAATTAATGAGTTCTTCTTTTTTTTGTGTGTGTGTGTAGTAAACGAGGTGTTGAAAATTAAGAGATTTTGTAGTTCTCACATAATAAAAATGTAGAAAAATGGACCGTTTTTTTTTAGGGATAAAAACACATTAGACCATTTAAAGAGGAGGGAAACCACTGAACAGTTAAGTAACCTGAATATATACCATTCTTATCATGATATATATATATATATATATATATATATATATATATACCATCTAACATAAAGCACGTTCATAAATTAGTTGAGTACTATGTATAGACCGATGAATCTATGCTTATCTTTTATCCCATAGAGTTTATACCAATCTATGAGGTTAATAGAGTAGTGAACGAGAACACACAAAATTACAGAACATCTTAGTAAAATCTGAGAACCATATAGTAAATACTTCATTTACAAAATGTTAATCAATTGTCTCAGACTTTATTGTTCTTTTGTTTCCAAACCAATCATTCTCTGTTTACGTCTTCTTTTCTTCGATCTTCTTAATCTTCACACATTTCATCCTATTTAAATCTCATCAGCTGGATGTACCTGAATCCCAGTGCTAATATTTACACACTGAAATGAAGGGCAGTCTATCTAAAGAGTTCTAGATAGAATGAAACACTTGTCTTGGATTTCATTTCTTACTATTATCTAATTTTACTAAATATGAATTAAACTCAATTTTCTTTTATTAGTTACCTCCAATCATTTAAACATTCATTACATACTTACCTACGCCTGTCACTGCCAACAGAGAAGGAGTTTTGTGAAGATTTTAGAAATTTAAATAGTTGAAATCATGAGTCAATTGAAGCTAGACCACTATGGAAAACCTGTAAGCACCAGACGGTCGTTTCGTCCCAGTATGAGACTCCTCAGCAGCGTGCATCCACGATCTCGCCTTGCCATATTCGAACCGAGAACCTATCAGTATCGTGAGCGAGCGCTTAACCTCCAGATTGCAGAGCTAGTCGACATCTAACGGTGTTATTGTTTAACTTCAACTAATCTACAAAATTAAGCGTCCAGTGCTTCCCAATTTTTTATAGTGGTCTAGCTTCAATTGACTTATGATTTCAACTATTAAAATATTTATCAGTTCATGTTTATTATTATTATTATTATTATTATCATCATAAATCTGAAACATTATGACAGGATCAAGAATATTTAAGGAAGATTTCAATCTAAAAGATTCAACAAAACATTTTATCTATCAACATGGCTTGGTAACAAATTACTGTTTGTCATTGTTGTTGTTGTTGTTCCTGTTAACAGTAAACATTTCCACAGATTTCGTATTTCTTTTTTTTTATGATAAAATTTATTTATTTTTTTTTTTGGTAGTAAACCAGAAAAATAAAAAAGAATCATATCGACACATTGTAATTATTAAGTGATAATGATTACAGGGGGTGTTGGTGGGGATTGGGGTGGAGGAAAGAAATAACATCTTAGGAATTACAGTTTTGTTTAGTAAACAAATTATGTTTAATACACGTGAATATTCAATATGTAAACATGTATGTATCTATCTTTTAATGTATTCACATCTCTCTCTCTCTATGTATGTGCGCGTGTGTGAGAGTGTCAGTGTGTGTGTATGTGTGCGTGGTTACCAATCTATATTCACTTCCATGACATCATTGGTTAATGCATAAACCAACAGGAAACATCTGGTATAAAATTATTTCATTGACTTTGAAACCAATGTGTTTAATTGTTTAATTAGATAAATTAAGATTTATTAAAATTGATTAAGTATTGTTTATTTATGATTCAATCATAGTAACTATGTATTCAATCGATTATTATTATGAGGATTTGGGATATAAATCAATAAGATTTCCCATGATACCGTTCTTGTTTTTTTTTTAAATTTATATATCTGGTTAGCGTTTTCTGATGAGTTAGTTTTCTACGGGATGGGGTCGTTAATCCCATGTCCAACCCTCCTCCTTTATCCAACATTGAGATTGGTAGTAGCCCCAGAGGGGATCTAGGTGGAGTTTTATTTATAGATCAGTATAGGTTATTAATCTTACAACTCAACTCTCCGCTTTTTTATACGAGTTTGAGCTTGATTATAATTTTGTAGTGAATATGAATTGAAAAATTGTTTATCTCATTGACCAGTGAGATCAAAACTGTTAATACATTTCTTGTTTCAATCCTCTGCCAAAATTTTCAATGCACAAAATCTAGCCGAATACTTACTTACTTGATTACTTACGCCTGTTACTCCCAGCAGAGTATAGGCCACCGATCAGCATTCTCCAACCCATTCTGTCTTGCGTCTTCCTTTCTTCTTCTATCCAATTCTTGTTCATTCTTCTCATGTCTGTCTCCATTTCTCGGTGTAGTATTCTTTGGTCTTCCTCTTCACCTTTGGCCTTGAGGATTTCAAGTGAGGCATTGCCTTGTGTGCTTTCCTCAATGTGTGACCTATCCGCTTCCAACGCTTCTTGCTCCCCTGAGATCGGGTTTGTTCTCTCAGCTATAATACCAAAACTTTATTTACCCAAATGGATGAATAGATTTCGAGCCAAAATTCGAGACCTTTTATCTTATACCTGATTAGTTCATTCAAACATTATAGTGTGGCCTCATACACGTGTTATTTAACATTAGATTACGAGTTTCGAAATTATCTCATACTTTTCTACAACTACCAATACCGCTGATACTGTTAGTACTTCCAGTAATACTATGATATATTGTCTTGATAATTTCGTATTCTACTTTGTTGATGTGGTCTAGGTACTTAAACTGATGCATATACATTTTAAGGCTTTCATGTTATTTACAATTGAATATCAGATTCACCTAGAAATACTTTCATAATCATTGCTTCATACAAATTAATCTGTAATTTTGTTTTCTTAATTACTTTTATATTCTAGTCAATTCATAATTATCAAAATGAAGAGATTATAATTGAACAGATCAAATCTTTAATCTACTCCATTCATCGTCATCCTCCTCCTCCTCCCCTTCATCATCGGCATCCTTCTGCTCCACCTCATCATCATCATCATCAACAACAACAACATGATACTTCCAAATATCACAAATTCAACAAACCAACACCTATCCCATCAAGTCAGTTAACTAGTAACCGATCAATTACCAATTTGGATATAAGTCACATTGAAACTGGTTTAGAACACAACTTAAACGATACAAATGAATTATGGAGTAGTAGTAATGGTAGTGGTAGTAGTAGCAGTTCAAACTGGAATAATAATAATAATAATTACATAATTCATAATAAAAATAATAATAGTAATTTGTTACTACTTATTAGTAGTATAAAAAGAAATAACATCGATTCATTTGAATGGGGATGTATGCGATGTTTCATTCTGTTAAATTCTAGTAAGTTAACTATATAAATGTTTGTTTATAATTTTTCAACTATTTGTGAGTAATTTCAATAGTTGAACTCATGAGTCAACCAAACAGTTAGATATTAACACCGTTGGATGTCAGCCAGCTCAATGGTCCAGATGTTAAACGCTGGCGAGCGAGACCGATAGGTTGTGGGTTCGAATCTCGTGGGAGCAGGGGCGTGAATGCGTACTGTTGAGATAGTCCCAGAATAGGAAGAAACAGCCGTCCAGTACTTTCAGGTTTCCCATGGTAGTCTAGCTTTAATTGACTCATGATTTCGACTATTGAAATTACTAAAATCTCCATAAAACTCATTCTGATAATTTTGAAATTGAGGTTCGATTTCAAGAGGATAGGATAATGATAGTTGTGTAATCAGCTATACATTGTGGATCACTAATCAGTGCTTGAAGTAATTAAATTCTAGTCTTAGCTATGTTGGTAGATATACACTATTTGGTTGGGGTCCACGTGACAATCGTAACCAATGGTTGCAAACTCTTGGTGGCATGGTTCAGAATCGATCACAATGGCGTAGGTGTATACACTCTATGTCTTCCCTTAAACTATGAGATTAAAATTGTTTTATATCTTCGTTTCTATCAAATAATTCTTTCTTTTGTGTTATATCCTTAGATGTAATCTTTCTTTTATATATATTACTACCATTGACGTAAATGCTTCTATGAATTTGGTGTTCATCTTGCTGTGCTAATGAGGTGTGGCAACTTGGACTGACGTATATATGTGCCTGGTCCTACGTTGTAGCTGACTGATTACTCCTGTTACCCCTCATAGAGGAGCATAGGCCGCTCATTAGCATTCTAATTAATTACTATTGGTGAAAACGATCTTATATCAGATTTAGTTACATTTTAATAATCCCACTTTTACCGTTCAAATTGAAGAATTCTTCTCTAACTAAAGTCACTTCATGAGATAAACATTAAATAGACAATATAATTCAGAAACGATGAATAGAACATCTTAAGAATGAGAAAAGGAATATTAAAGAATCGAGTTGAAATGAACTAACAAAATACTTTACTGGAATATTGTTGTTATGTTCTTAAAGCCTGAGAATATATCATGTCACTGAATCGCCAATTAGAACACTAACTTATTGATCAGACCAGTGATTCATAAACCAATATGAACAGTCTAGAGTTACTCTAAGTTCTTATTGAACCTCCGAGATAGTTGCTCCTCGTCTAACCTAGACGGCTCAGTTCAGAACACCAATATCAGCATCCACTTTAAGAATCATATATTTCAAACATATTTGGTTTATATACAAACAAATCTGATCGCATCATATCATAAAGTAGGATATAACAATTGTACAAGATCAAGCCAAAAAGTGGCTGTGATTGTGAGACTTACTTACTTATATACTGACATCTGTTACCCCCAAATGGAGCATAGGCCGCCAACCAGCATTGTGAAAGACTATAACTAATTAATTGGGAATAACTTAAGAATAGTAAATCATATTGCAGTAGCCGTTGGGTTAAACGGAAGCTTATAATAAAATAAATATGAATATACATAAAATCTAGTTACTTAATAGTTAATCAATAGGAATATACTTAATAATAGTTCATAAATAGATCCTAACAGTTACCATTCATTCATTCTTCGTTCGGATATAGCAAATGTCCTCTCCAAATCAAACTTCATAGAAAACTATCGATTAATGTAGATTACATTCTTTCTGAGCAACTTCAAGTTTATTCACTAGGACTAAACGGATATCCAGTGCTTTCAGGTTTTTCATGATGGTCTAATTTCATTTGACCCATGAATCCAACTAGATATTTATGGATCAAAGTTGAAAGTGAATATTGATCTTACTTGATCGAATACAACGACATAAACCTACAGATAACACTTGATAATAGTATTAAGTACACAAATGGTATACATAATTCAATGGGGATGTTATATTCGGGAAAACTTTTGAAATATCTAGATACAATAATCATTACCATTAGATAATGTATAATATTGATTATTTACTAAACAGGATAATGTGTACATTTGGATCATTTTGATGTTATTCCTCAATAAGCACAGTATCCATGAGTTATTGCTAAACATGGAAACAATATATACCATAGTTAATTACAAGTTAATAAGACCATTTTATTTGATTGTTTTAATCAATATTACCATAGGTATCTTTTGAATTGTGTCAGAACACATATTTCGTCACGTTAAATCTTCGTCAGTCGAATCCACTCACATTCCATTTTTGTTCACATTATAATCAAGGTTTACATTCAATTGGTATAGTTTATTTAAATCTTCCCACTAATGTTTAGGACTAAAATTGATCAGTCTCTTTACCAAGTGAATTGAAACTTCACCCCGTTGCACAAGCCAGTGGCTATTAGGACTCAGTAGCTAAGTGGATAATGCGATAGCATTTGAAGTGAACGGTGTTGAGTTCAACTCTCAGAGTGAACACCAAGTCCGAGATGTAGGTACATTCAGCTGACGAGTCCCAAATAGGATGAAAAGAACGTCCTGGATTCCACTACTAGCCACTATCCATCTTTGCATATAATATCATAAATGTTACACAAACTGTAATCAATTTAACTTAATGGTTTGGTGGATTCCATTTTGGAGTTTATAGAGCTGAGCACTGGACTAGAATCTAAGTACGAACATCAAGATTCGGGGGGTATGTATATCCAAGTAAAGTTTCAACTCGAAAAAAGTTCATATCTTGAATTCTTTGGCTAGCTACGATGTAAAAATATCTGAATACTTGTAATATTGTATTTAATATTGTGGTATTCATTCAAGATATACTTTTGATAACAATAACTGATCAGAATTCAGGAAAATACAAACCCTGATTACAATATTATCGATTTTATGGTTTACATTACGAAACAACCTTAGAAGACGATTGAAAGATATAAATTATTGTATAGCTAACTTATCCTATTTTAAGGCTATTCAGAAATGATCATTCACAAGCCCCCGAATGCCCTGGCAACGCCGAGAGTGGGAAGAGTCCGCTCACCCTCTCGAAATGCTCTCACATGGCCACGCGTATATAGCTTCTGTCAGAGAAGGCCTACTCACTGCCATCTCGTACCGGGGGTGTTGTTTACAAAATTGGGAGGATGAAAAGCGAATATCCGACGCCTTAACCGGGTTGGTGGACATGGAGGGTCCACCTAGAGGAGTTCGAAAACCCTTACTCAAGACCAGTGGTGCACATGGGCTCCAGTATCCTGAAGGAACAAATGGCGTATGAACCAATCGTTGGTCACCGGCTACCATGAGACTGCATCTCTTTACGATACTCCACTGCCTTGTGGATCAGGACTTTAGTTCGAAGGCTCCGGGTGTGGCCCGCTAAGAAAACCACCTGTTTCGGTTTGGGCACCCGGGCAGTATCACAACCCTCATACATATGAAATGAAATATGTGTGGCGCATATAGATTTGGTGCCTCCTTGTACCAATATCTATGTGTTCAAATAAAATAAAAGCCTACAGGAATTCGAACCATTAGGTCCTATACCCAGCCAGGGATCATTAAAATTCAACCATATCAGATGTAAAGGAGTTACCTATCAACAGTACTGAAAGACAACTTCACAATATTCATGAGTTGACTGAAACCAGGATTATCAACTATTAGATGTCGATTAAATGATTTAAAGATTAGATACTATTACTGTAACATCCTAACACCATTGATATCAATGCATTGTAGGATCGTCGATGAAAAGTCTAATACTTAAACTAGTACTTCTTGTTCCTCTTATATATATTACATAAATCATCATAAATTTTCATTCCTCTCACTTTTTTCTCCTCTTTATAACTTTCAGGTCTCTTAAATGATTCCTATACTAAATCATTTGAATTATTAAAATATACAATTCATATGATGTTAATCAAACATATAATTAATAAATTAAAACAACAATTACATCATAATAAACAAGTAACCATAGCAACAAACCATTGGATATTGACATATCGTTTAACTCAACGAATTTATAATCTTTTACAAATTTCCAATGAATTAATGAATATACAAATTTATCAGAATACTACTGATAAACATTTAGTTAGTAGTCAATGAAATAAAGTAAAAAAGTTTTCGTTTTTTTTTATTGTATAACTTTTCTTCTCTTTTTATTTTCTTCTTTTTTTATCCAAAATTGTTTACTATATTACTTATATACTGATAACTATATATCTATTTTTGTTAATAAATTATGTTTTGAATAATGATGATTTTTGTGTTTATAATGGTATTCCCTAACTTACCCTGTTACCCCGAATGGAGAATAGGCTGCTGACCAGCATTCTTCAACCCATTCTGTCCTGAGCCCTCCTTTCTAGTTCTATTCAACTGTTGTTCATTCTTTTCATCCCTGTTACCGTTTCTCGGTGTAATGTGTTCTTTGATCTTCCTATTCTCATTTGGCCTTGAGGAGTTCAAGTGAGGGCTTGCCTTGCGTGTTTTCCTTAATGTGTGTCCTATCCACTCCCAGCGCTTCTTCCTCCTCTAGAATCTGGTTTGTTCTCTCTCTCACAGTAGGTTGTTGTTGACAGTATTTGGCCAACGGATCCGAAGTATTTTGCGTAGAGAACTGTTATCTGGTCTTGGGACCGGCAATAGCCTCAGAAGGGCTCCAGGCGGAGTTACATTTTAATCTCTACTCTTTAGTAATAATGATAACTGCATAATCAGAGGGGGGTTTTTGTGGATATTATAGTAATTTTTAATAGTTGAATTCATGATTTGATTGAAGTGATAGTAACATGGATACCGATTGAGTGATCTAGAGGTTAAGTGTTCGCGCTCGAGACCAGTAGATCCTGGGTTCGAATATTGTGAGTCGGGATTTTGGATGCGCATTGCTGAAAAGCCTCATGCTAGGACGAAACGACCGTCCAATGCTTTTAGGTTTTCAATGGTGGATTAGCTTTAATTGACTCGTGAATTCAACTATTAAATAATCACATATTTAATAGGGACAAATTTCCAGAGTTACAATTTCAGCAGTTATAGTAAAAACTTATGACTAGTATAGTTTAATCATGTTGAATGTGAGACAGTAATCTACAAATATCATTGGTTAGTAATCGTGAAATATCCAAAAATTAACTGAAGTTAGAAATGTGAACCATTGAACACTGGCTCAGTGACCTGAAGGTTGAATACTAAACATAAAACTTAAAGATGCTAATTCGGATCTTTGGTGGGATTATAAGTGTGCATTGTTAACATCCATTATACTAGAACGAAACAGTTGTTCAATGGTTCTTAGTTTTGTGGCCTGCTGTCGGGTTCCAAAATGATCGAACAATGAAATATACATTTGCTATTTACTTCACAGATAGTTTTTCGATAAATCCTGTTGATGGTAACATAAATATAAGAAGTCGACTACGAAAGTATATACGGAACAAATATTTCAGGCACACGTTCATTCAAACAAATGATGAGAGACGAAGAGGAACTCATGTGAACTGAATTGGCAGAAATAACCAACTCGACTTAATGATAAATAGAGTAAGTGATCGACACACACACACATACATTCGTAGAAAGTCAAGGCTATAAGCGAACAATTGACAATGTCGAAATATATGGATAATGACCAAAGACCAGAATAACCCATGTACGTGTAACATAATACTAGACGCTATACTATGTTTTCAATGAGGATCTAAGTAAGATCAATTTGCAGTATAAACGATGAAATTTGATTTCATTGAGTCTTTAGGGTTACTTGGGTAAAATTACGGAATACTTTCGTAGAATGTGAAAAAACATACATTAAATACTTCATTCGCAAATATTCTATCAATTGTGTCAAACTTCAGCGTTCCTTCATTGTCATTATTCTCTGTTTACACTCCTATTCTCTTCAATTCCATCTCCTCAGCTTTCTACTACTGGGCATTCCACTTCTGATTAGTGTTATATACTACTTGTGTCGACAGATAAAAGTAGCATGCACCACAATATCAATAATAACTACATCGATATATTTATTAGAAGTTCTAGGAAAGAGCTCGAAATTGCTTGTGATCAACTAACGTTGATGTCGTTCAAAAGAACGATGAAAGCTCCACGACCAAACCATCCAGCTCAGAGAACAAAACCCCATCGAAATCATCCACCTGAGTTACAATTCTTGTCCACCATCTCAAAATCATATGACTTTTCGGGTTTCCATAATCTGATTTGTCGAATCTCGTGTTTGCTACTGAATGTATTTTACTTTCCAAAGGCTTCAGGAGTCCAAAGATCATTCTGTTTTCTATATTTAAACTGATCTTGAATGTAAAGCTGCTTTCATATATCAGGCTTCTATTTCTATCGGACTTTATAAGTCAACGATAATCGAAGTTTATAAGTCGAAGAAATCATTATCAGAAGCATTGACTGTCAGAGAAGTTATCATTGAATAGCGTTACTTCAAAAAAGGAGATAAGTCTGGATATTAAGTGCTGACTAATGAACACACAAGTCCAAAGCATCTTACTTACTTACTTACGCCTGTTACTCCTCGTGAAGGAGCATAGGCCGCTCACCAGCATTCTCCATCCAACCCTGTCCTGGGCAATCCTTTCAAGCTCTTTCCAGTTCTTATTCATCTTTTTCATATCTGCTTCTATTTCCCGACGTAATGTGTTCTTTGGCCTTCCTCTTTTCCGCTTCCCTTCAGGATTCCAAGTTAGCGCTTGTCTCGTAATGCAGTTTGATGATTCCTCAATGTATGTCCTATCCATTTCCATCGTCTTTTCCTAATTTCCTCTTCAGCTGGAAGCTGGTTGGTTCTCTCCCACAAAAGGCTGTTGCTGATGGTATCCGGCCAATGGATGTTGAGTATCATGCGTAGACAGCTATTGATAAATACCTGTACCTTCTTGATGGTGGTTGTTGTAGTTCTCCAAGTTTCAGCTCCGTACAGTAGAACTGCCTTGACGTTGGTATTGAAGATTCTGACTTTGATATTGGTTGTAAGTTGTTTTGAGTTCCATATCTTCTTCAGTTGAAGGAATGCCGCTCTAGCTTTGCCAATCCTCGCCTTGACGTCTGCATCTGAACCTCCTTGTTTATCGACGATGCTTCCCAGGTATGTGAAGGATTCCACGTCTTCCAGAGTTTCGCCATCAAGAGTGATTGGATTGCTGTTCTCCGTGTTGTGTTTGAGGACCTTGGTTTTCCCTTTGTGTATGTTGAGGCCTACTGATGCAGAGACTGCTGCTATGCTGGCTGTCTTTATCTGCATTTGTTCGTGTGTATGTGATAGGAGGGCTAGGTCATCTGCGAAGTCCAAGTCGTCTAATTGGTTCTGAGCTGTCCCCAAAGCATCTTGCCGATCTTTTTTTTTAATTAACTAACGACTAACCACAATGTATATGATGTCGATTGAAAAAAAACTAGTGAACACACTATAGCCTGACTAACATTATTCGATCAGTTCTAAGAACTAGAGGAAAATGGCACAGGCTAATCGTTCACCACAAGGTTTAAATGCACTGGGTTCGACCCCTGATGGACTTATGAATGCGTACCACTGAAATATCCCATACAAGGATGAAACACAAGTTCAGTGTTTCATGATCTTTAACATTTGTCTAAACAAGTCAATTTATGTAGAAATTTTAAAAAATTACACTGCTCACTACTGCTCTATGGGTTGCCCCCAAATGCCCTGGTAACGCCGAGAGTGGGGAGAGTCAGCTCTCTCTCCAAATGCTCTCAAGTGGCCACGTGAATACAACCACTGTCAGGGAAGTCCTACTCACTGCCCTTTCGTACCGCGGGTGTTATTTAAGAAATTGAGAAGACGAAAAGTGGATGTCTGTTGGAGGCCTTACCCTAGTTGGTGGATATAGAGGATCCACTCAGGGGAGTTCGAAAACCCCCATTCTAAACCAATGGTGCACATGGCCTCCAGGATCCTAAGGAAATAAATGGCGTATGAACCTATCGTTGAAAACTGGCCAACATGGGACTACATATCCGGACGTTGCTCCACTGCCTTGTGGATCAGACCATTAGATCGAAGGTTCCGAGTGTGGCTTCCTAAGAAAACCACCTTCTTTTATTTAGGCAACCGGGCAGTATCCCAGCTCTCACACAAATTGAATGATTTATGTGGCGCATATCTATTTGGTGCCTCCTTGTACCAATGTTTATGTGTTTAAATAAATAAATAAGCAAACTCTATGGGTCGACATAAATTTCAAGCGTAAAGTGAAATAAGGTCTTTCATGATTATTGAGATAATTTTATGATTATTTGGGCATCTGTATGCATTTTGAAAATATAAACCGAACTTCTCTCAAATTCCTTTGGTATTGTTTACTTGAATCTTCTCAATGTTATTTAAGACTGCCATTGATCAGTCTCTTATTGGCATATGTACATACTGGGCTGATTGCCTTAATTTACAAGGATTATAACAAAGATGGACAGTGGATTCCACTACTACTCACTATCCATCTTTGCTAACTTCTCTCGTCCCATTTACTGAAACCAAATCAAACCGAAGTCTTATGAAATCATATTACCTACGAAACTAGAGTCATTTTTTCACAAAACAATGATTTCATTTTTATAGGATACTGTTGTGTCTTGAGAATACTGGTTGATATCATGTGTCAAAGTTACTTATCGGAATTTCAACTCCTCTGTCACTAACATAACATTCTAGACTTGATTAATTACACTTTTGATTTACACAGTTAACCTTGAGCTGGAACAAACTAAGCTTGCATCTATCCACCATTCATAATCCTTTCTCTATCTCTTGCCTTGAATCTAAAGAAAAGTCAGCAGTCAGGTTCAGTTATTCAACTGAACTATGACTTATACAAAAGAGTAAAATTATGATCACACATCAATGTAATTGAGAAATTACAGTAATGGCATAACTATGTCATAAGTGAAAAAGAACTGAGTAATAAGTCCGTAATAAATTAACAAATTAAGAAAGGTACAACGTATAACGAAGGTAGTGTATGTCACAGAGAAGTTTACAAACAGGAGAACAAACATAAAAAAACAATAACTTCAGGTAGGAGACATTTCTGAAAGTTCGACTTTTCCAAAACTCATCCCATCAAAACAGATAAACAAAATTCGTCACATCAAAATGAAATGGTAACATTGAGAAGCAATAGCAAAGAGAAGTGAGCGTCTAGCGTTTTATGGGTGAACTCATCTAAGGAAATTGGAAAATATTATTTGTATACCAATGGTGCATGTGTACTACAAAATCTTGAAGGAACAACTAGTGTATAAGTCAACATTAATCACTGACGGCATTTCCTAAAGTTTCTTCGCGATCTTCTTCAGATCAGATTACTAGATTAAAAGGTTGAGGATTGGTTCCTATTTATTTTGGTTTAGCTGTCTTAACAATATCTTATCACTTATACAAATCACAGAAATAGAGAAACTATGAAACACTATTTTCGTGTACATTTCTATTGGACATAAGGATTTTGTAGAGATTATATAATTCCATATGTTAAACCATTAAAAATCACAGAACTGAGTTGACCTCTATACACACAGACATTTAAGTAACAGGCAAAGAATCCCTAATGTGTTTAGATTGATATCGTGAATGAATCAATGTTAGGCCATCATTGAAAACCTGGAAACACTGGACGGCCGTTCTGTCCTATTGTGGGACTCCTCGATAGTGCGCATCCACGATCCTGCTCTCAAGATTCGAATCCAGGGCCTTTAGTCTCGCGTGCGAATGCACAACCTACTGGACCACTGAGTTAACATACAACGGTATTAATGTCTAACCTTAACCAATCCACGAAATTGTGCGACCATCTTCTATTGTACTTAGGTAGATACCTGTCTCTATCCGACACGGAGTAGTTGAAACATTAGACTAACCAAAAGTCATGAAATAAAATTGGTGCATATGATTGGTCAAGTAATGACTTTTATTTCTACAGGATAAGACATAAACCACTGATAGGTTTAATTTCCTTAGGGATATATATATGGCTCCTTTCTCACTTTTCATCTTTCATTTCGAGTAACCAGATTTGTATATAAAAAGAGTGTTTATCAATATCAACTTTCAAATGCCATACATCAGGACATTAACATCCCGTAAATTCCGAAAGACCTTTTACAATTGTACTGTACTTCTCTCTCTTGAGTGGTATTATTGGGGTGGGGAGTGGGGGTAACGGAAATGGGAATCCTCTGATCAATTGAAAATTATGCATAAATTAAGTTTTTGGTTTTTTTTAGAATCTAAGGTAACATATAAACACAAATATAACTTTATATATATTTCTGATGTGTGGACGAGAATGATCATGATTGTTTGTCTGCTTAGTCAGACATGTTGATAGTCTGAAAGTTGTCAGATGAGTTATATATTACCCTATCCTTATTATTATTACGACTCACTTATCATTGATTGTTCATTGTTGTTGGATTGTGTCGAGTTTTTTGGTGTGGAAATATATTTACGTTCTAATCAGGCTAATCACGTATTCTTGATCTGAGTTGTGTTGAAGTCCTGTAGAATAATAAACACTGGGAGGGAATATAATGTAGATATTCGTCTAAGGTAAATGAACGTCCCATAAGTGTAAACGTGGAAACTCAACAGTTATAACATTAGACGAAGTAAAAACCGAGCGTTATAACAATTTCTATTCTAAACATATCATATTTCTATACAACACATACAGAAGGGTGAAAATCCATTCAACCGAAAGTGTTTAAACGGGCAACACAATATATATATATATATATATATATATATATATATATATATATATATATACTACCTAGAAGATACATATTCCTAAGTGTTTCAATGAATGAATGGAAGTTAATTCAATACCAGAATCAGTGGAATAAACGGATTATTCACCATTCAATCAATATTATCATCATCATCATCATCATCAGTAAGTGTTTGATATTTTGAAGAGAAATGGGAGATGTTGTTTTGTATATAAAGAATAAAATACAGTAAATTTACTTCCATATATATGTTTTTGGTAGATCAGCACTGAAATTAGTTTTCATAATCCATGGATTAAACATTATTTCAAGTACACTTTTATATTTTGGATTATATGCAGGTGGTATACAAGTACGAGGGTCCTAAAAGGAAAAAAAATAATAGGATATATAGAAAATAAACAGACAAATGATGTAATGAGAGCTTTACATTAAATCGAAGTTTATATATACACACACATAATGCTACGGTACGGTCGAAGGTGAGGAGAATCAGCTCTCCTCCTCGAAATGCTCCCATATGTCCACGTGTATACAACCATTGCCAAGGGAGACCTACTCACTGCCTTCTCGTGTCGCAGGTGTTGTTTGGCGAAATTGAGAGCACGAGGAGCGAATGTCTGTTGAGGGCTATAACCGGGTTAGTGGATATGAAGGATCCATCTAGGGTAGTTGGAAAACCCTCATTCCAAACCAGTGGTTCACATGACCTCCAGGATCCTGAAGAAATAAATGACGTGTGGATCTATCCTTGTTCACCGGCTGCTATAGAACTGTAATCTCATGACACTGTCTCACTGCCTTATGGATTGGACCTCTAGGACAAAGGCTCGGGGAGTGGTCCACTAAGAAAACCAATGTTTATGTGTTTAAATAAATAAAGTATGTTACTTATGTTGACAGATATAAGTAGTATGTAGAAGCAATCAGAAGTGGAATGTCTGTGAGTAGAAGATTGAAATGAAGGGAAGAGATAAGAAATCTTAAGACAATCAAAATAACAAGAGGAATGATAAAGTTTGAGAGAGACACTTGATAGGAAATGTGCGAATAATATATTTAATCTATGGTCTGCATATATTACCAAGATACTCTGTAATTTTGCATTTAAACAATAAATTGGTTGTTTCCATCAAGTCTTCGTTCACTAGAACAATACTATACACATGTAAACGTAGTTTATTAGATTACGTAATAATAAGCGAATTAATCTCATACATTTATACGCTGTTGTATTCTAACTTTCTAGATTATTAAAATCGTTTGAGAATTCAGTTTTGATAGTGAGACTATACTTTATGGACGATCTTTAATCTAACACATTAATCCGAAGGTTAAATCTTAATTTTCAAAGGGTGATTTTAGCATAATTAATTAGTTAATCCTATCCCATTGAGTTGTGATTGACCAGATGTTATGATTCTCTCTTATTACAACTCAGCTATTCCTATTGCTTTATTTATTTAAACACATAAACATTATTACAAGGAAGCACCAAATAGATATTTATCACATAAATCACTCGATTTTTGTGATGGCTGGGATATTGCCTGGGTGATAAAATCGTAGCAGGTGGTTCTCTTAGGGGGCCACACTAGCAGCCCTTGACCTAAAGGTCTAATCCACAACGTAGTGGAGCGACGTCAGGAGATGCGGTCCCATGGTAGCCAGTAACCAACAATAGGTCCATACGCCATTTGTTTCCGTAGGATCCTGGAGGCCATGTGTAGCATTGGTTTGGAATGAGGGCTTCTCAACTCCCCTGAGTAGATCCCCCATATCCACCAACCAGGTTAAATCCCCCCACCGGACATTTGGTTTTCGTCCTCTCAGTTTTGTAAACAACAGTAATGCCGCGAGAAGGCACTGAGTAGGACTTCCCTGGTAGTGATTGTATGCACGTGGCCATGTGAGAGCATTTGAAGAAAGAGAGCTAACTCTCCCCACTCTCAGCCGTAGCAGGCCATTTGCGAGCTTAAATTTTTTTAAAGCCGGCCACACCCGGTATTCCCATCCAGTCACCCACGCAAGTACTGAGCTGGCCCAACATTACTTAACTGCGGTGACCGGACGAGAACCAATGCTTTCAACGTGGTGTGGTCGCCGGCTTAGTATTCTTGGACACCAAGTCAATCGACAAGTCCCCAAAGATGAACACAGTTGAATAGGGAAAGTAATTATATTCCAAATAACAAGTTTAGATGGAAGTAAGAAGCACACTAAGATAAACATTCGTATATTTATAGTTTTTTTTTTACATGAGAAGATTCTAAAACATTCTGTAAGTATCAACCAGTGTTGATTGGCTAATTCTTATCTAATCAACGTGCAGCAATGTAATTGTGCATCGAGCATACTTTCATCTAATCTATATCCTACTAACATCAGACTACATCAAGTATCAATCAAAGTTATTCAAAGTCACTAATAAGTTCACCTTCATAATTTAACTCTATTATATTATTATAATGATGAATTACAAGAAGAAAAAAATAATAAAAAAGAAATAGAATAACTAACCATATGAATAGCTGCACCTTGTAATTCTTGTGCTTCATAATTATAAGTTAATTCATTTAAATCCATAGGAAATTGTACTTCATTAAATACTCTTGTAAATTTTTCATGAGCATTTGAAAACCTTGAAAAGTAAAAACAAAAAAGAAAAAGAAAAATGATGAGAAAAAAAAGAAAAGAAAAAAAATTAAAAAAGAAAATCGATATGAATTTATTAGATTATGATTTTCTTTTTGAATAAGAAATTGATGAATATTAAGTTTGATAATATTTGTCTATTAGTTGCTTGAAACTTTCCACCTATTGATGTTTAGAACTGTAATAGATTAGTCTTGAGATAGTGAAGAAAATTTGTAGTTGATATGAATGATTTTGATGAAATTTTGTTCTTTAAACTGGATGGTTTAGTTGTGGAGATTTGGTCGTTCTTCTAAACGACATCATCATAAACACAAACTTTAGATAGAAGTGAAGTATTCGAATTTTTTCATATATGGTTCATAGCTTGTTCTGTAGACTTTGATATTGATTGGTTCTTATTAACCTTAAACTTGCGATTGTTTATATTTTTGTTTTGGTTGTATCTTCCATTGGTTTGAATTTTTGTTGACATCCTATAAGGATTGCTATGATATTATCATTAAGTCATAAATAGTATAAATAAAGATGGATTCAAGTCACAGTCAGTCAGCTGCAACGTAGGACCAGGCACGTATATGCATCGGTCCAAGTTGCCATACCGCATTAGCACAACAAGATGAACACCGGATTCATAGAAGTAGTTAATTCAGTGGTGGTAATATATAGAAGAAAGATTGTGTATAAGGAGATAGTAAAGGAAGAAAGAATTAGTTACTAGAAAGATATGAAGCGATTTTAATCTCTTAATTTAAAGAAGACAGAGAGTGTATACACCTACACCATTCTGATCGATTCTGAGCCATGTCACCAAGAGTCTCCAACCATTGGTTACGATAGTCACGCGGACCCCAACCAGGCAGTCTGAATCTCCCAACATGGCTCAGACCAGAAGTTAGTGACTTCAAGCACTGATGCCACGTTTTGATTTGGCCGCCCCTAACTTTCTTCCAATTATCCCCTGCACTAGTCAGCATTGCGCGTCGTGATAATCGGTGTTCAGGCATACGCAACACGTGGCCCAACCATCTCAGTCGATGAAGATTCATAACCTCATCAACTGATTTACCATCATTCCCTAATACCCTGCGTCTAACCTCACTATTACTTACCCGGTGATCCCAGCAGATACCCGTAATATTTCTAAGGCACCTGTGGTCAAATACTAGTAACTTACGAATATCTTCCACTCTTAAAGGCCATGTTTCGCAGCCGTATAGAAGGACGGAACGAACTGCCGCGCAGTATACTCGTCCCTTAATTGATAGACGGATATCTCGCCTTCGCCATAGATGACGTAAGTTGGCAAAGGCCAAGCGAGCTTTTCGAATCCGTGCTGAGATTTCGTCAGACACCAACCCATTAGGGCTGATCAGACTTCCAGGATAAGTGAAGTTGTCGACGCGTTCGACTACTTCACTCCCTATCCTTAGTTCACGTGTTGATGCAGACCAGTCCTGAAGCAACAACTTGCATTTAGAGGGAGAAAAGCGTATCCCAAACATTCTAGCATTGTTTCTCAGTGCTACCAAAAGACTCTGCATTTCATCAGCGTCTTCACCAAACAGGACTATGTCATCTGCGTATTCTAAGTCACACAGTGAACATTAATAAGTCTAAGATGTAGGTACATCCACAGTTGACGAGTCTCAAACAGGACGATGCTTGTGTCCTGAATTCCACTGCTAGCCATCATCCATCTCTGTTTATATATTTGATAATATCACAAAAGTTACAGTGTTGAACAATCCTTGAAACTATAAGTAGATCCCTTCATCTCTAATCACCTTTTTCATTCAATTTGATAATTGGTAAATAAAGTTCTTGGGAGGAACAATGAACTAGAACACATTTAAATATCCTTTATTTATAAATTAAAAGTCAAGCTGATATGAATCCGGGTCTACACAATGAATATTTCTCTTACTTACAAAATGTTAAATAACTAAATGATAAATCATTTCAAAATCAATTCACTTACTGAAGTCTGGAATTTGTTAAACTATTTGCATATCTTAAAGCAAGACGCCATTGAAGTAGTTTGTAATCATCACGCATTAAATATTGACCACTTAAGTCAATTTCAGTGGCATTTTGTGCAATCTTTAAAAGAAATACATTGAATAAAAGTAAAAGAATGTACTCAAATAGTAGAAAATGATTTATTCTATATTAAATCAGGTAGTATTGTGTATCTGTATTACTTAAGTTGATGACTTTGTCGATAAATATGTGCTCAACACCCAAGTCACAACCTGGAGAACTGCGAAGATGTCATCCAGAACATACAAATGTTTATTAACAGTTGTCTGCGTAAAATATTTCGGATTCGTTGGCCAGACACTATCAGCAACAACCTCTACTGTGGGAGAGAACAGGACCGATCCCACAGGAGGAAGAAATCAGGAAGCGCTGGAAGTGAATAGGACACACATTGAGGAAGGCACCCAACTACATCATAAGGCAAGCACTCACTTGGGAGCGTCAGGGTCAAAGGGAAAGAGGAAGACCAAAAAACTAATTACGTCGAGAAATGGAAACAGATATGAGAAGAATGAACAACAATTGAATAGAACTAAAAAGGAAGGCCCAGGACATAGTGGGTTGTAGAATGCTGGTCGGCGGCCTATGCTCCATTGAGAATAACAGGCGTAAGTAAACAATGAAATTAATATCATGGAAAATAATGGAATATAAATTTAAAAAAATCCGTTTTATTGGATCTAGACAATAAATCAGGGATAATATCCATTTGTATTGTTGAGTATAGTACTATTGAATCGGTGAATTCATGAGGAACTGAAGGTCATTATGCAAAATATGAACTCACTATCCATAATGGAATTCAGATGCCCAAAAAGAACATAAAAACAAAATTTTAAAAAGGTATCGTAAATATTAATGAACTATTTTTTTCAAAACAAAAAGAAAACTTACAATATAGATATCATCATCATCGTAAACATCCACTGTTGAACCATCAACAGTGAGGATATGAGAGTAACGGTCCATATGCTCTATATAATAATTTCCAAGTATATCTTCGTAAGCATTTAAAAATTCATCAGTCAGATTGCGTGCGTTTACTTCCCAAGGCTAAAGAAAATGTTAATCAAACATCCCTTTAGTAATATATATATTGTTTGGAATAATTGAACAGAGTCCAGATAAAATAGTTTATAATCTCATACAAATCTATGCCGGTTCAAGTTGCTACACTATGCAACAGTATAGTAGGAGTACATTCATAGTGAATAAGTGTAATATATACAATGGTGATGTAGATAAACGAGAAATTCTAGGTTTCACATGTACAGAAACACCAAGAAGTGAACACATATGAGCTATAGCGATTGTTTTAGGATCAAATCACACAGGGTTTACAAATAACATTTGATTATCACCAGTGAAACTCAGTTTGAATCAGACCATTACTCCATAAATTAATTTATAGAGTGAATTTATGTGTTAATTTGGCTACTCTCTGCACTTTTTTTCTCTATTTGACTAGTAACTGTGTATATGTAACATGTGTTCGGGTTATTGTAAACAAACATTCACAACTTTACCAGATTTTTTTCATCCAGTCAGTAATCAAATTACAGCCTGGAGCAAATGTGAGCTAACAGAAGTCTTCATACCACATTATAAAACGACAAGATGAATAGCAAACGAGTCGAAATAATGTAGTAACGACGGTAATGAGAAAAACTAAGAATTGAGAATGTGGTTCGAGAAGATGAAGTGAAGAGATATATATCAAGAAATGTTAGGTGGTTGAATGTGTCAACACGAAGATCTACTAAATCTAGGTTTCAAGCTAGTTGACATTCGTCGCCGAGGTGTACCTGTATTCTTGAAGGAACTTGTGCACCCTGACGGATTAGATCCTGTGTCACCCAGGTGGGGACGTTGCCATTGAGCTATTCGGGGTGCAACTAATCAGATGTAGAAGTGAGTTATTTACGATCAATTGATCAGTGAGTAGTGGCCAGTTTCATGTTTGTCAAATCCTTCTTATTATTGATCGAATTCTATAGACTAGGGAATGAATACTGGGACTCAACATATACAGTAACATTGTGACAGATTCTAAGCAATTCCACTAAACGTTTTCAATTACTGACCGTGGTTATCATGTGGATAATCTTCTACCAAAATAACTCAGATCAACAGTCAATGACTTTATGGACTGATATCAAATTTTAGTTATCCCCAAACTTATTCCTACTCCAGACAACATTGAATATCGAGGTAGGAGGCGATTGGGCGTATGTAATACATACCTCAGCCACCTCAGTTCAATAGGGATTCACAGCTTCAATTGATTTGCTACACTTTCCTAATATTCTAAGGCTAGGCAATAACAAATAGGAAGATAGGGATCTTCCTTCTCCTCCTTGTCTAAAATTGTGTCCAATTTTAAAATTACTCAACTGATGGTATCACTACACACCAACGATACTTAGAAAGCACATACAATCCGAATACTCTTCGTTTGAAAATACTATTTACTTTCAAGTGTTATGCTTTATAACCACATATTAGAATGAGGTAGACAGGTTAATATATATTACGTTATTGATGTCTACTTAATAATATACAGGAGAGAACTTGGCTCGACCTAGGTTAAGGCCTTGACACGATAGGCTAATTGGTTTGACGTTGAGGCTAGAAGTGAGTGAGTACGAACCAAGACTAACGGCACTGAGCAGAGACGAAAACTATTCTGTCACCTGATTGGTTGACAAGTCCTGCTTCGGCCTGAACACTCGGGCAGTATCCTAGCCCACACACAACTCAAGTGGCTTGTATGGTGCATATGTATTCGGTGCCCCTTGGTACCAATATTTCTGTGTTCAAATAAATAAATATTAATTAATTAAGTATTAGGGTATAAAAATAGAGTACAAAAGGTTACGTCTAAATTACAGTAGCTTTGGAATAGAAAAGGTTACGAGTGAATAATGCATTAAACGGCAGCTTATGGTTTGTAGAATAACCAGAGACAAAAGTGAATGTATTTTACAAACTTTGAATTAAGCAGAATTATGTTCCCGAAAATACCTTTCGTCGTTCGACATGGCTCCTTTATTTCTTTACTTACACCAACACACAACATACTTAGATTTTGAAAGGTTGTTAGAAATGGTTAGGAAGTTAGCATTTCAGGTTAACTTTACAAGTAAACATTTAGATGACGCAGGCAAAGTGACAGTCAAAGGGAGTTATTTATCTAAACATATACATTGGTACAAAAGAGGACCAAAACATGTATGTGCCACACAAATAATTGAATTGGTGTGTAAGTTGGGATACTCTCCGGATATCTTTGGTCCCTACAAAACAAATACCACTCATATTAAAGCCCACAGACATTTGCTAACTAATGAGGTGCATTAAAAACTATTAACGAATACACACTTAACAAATGAGGCGTTAATTGTAATGTATTAAGTTTATAGACAACCATAACAAATGCGCAAACCCTGGATTTACTCAAAGCAAAATGAAGCTTCCAACTACATAAAATCGAGATCAAATTAATAAGACAATACCGAAAATTTAACATAAATGCAAAAAATCGATGTCAACCGTATTAGTACCCCATTCACAGTAAGTTAGTGTAGATCACAAGTGACATGAGGCAATGTACCAGAGAAAACAGATAAAAACAATGGACTTTTTGTTCTCATATCCATATATCTCTACAAACTATAGAATTTTCCATCAGTCAGTCGTAATGTGGAACCTAGTACGAATGTACATAGAGTCAAGTTGCCACACCCCCTTAGCAGGACGAGGGGAAAACCCATGGTTAGAGGTAATAACATTATTAGTGGTAATAGGAAAGATCGGGCATCAAAGATACGATTCAGGAACTGAGCATGGTAGTCTCGAAATTTTGGGCTACATGTTATTCATTCATATCAAAATGGGGAACTACAGGGAATACAGATTTAAGATATCTGCTAGGAAGTCCAAAATATGAATATACTTCTACATACTAAGGGATTTGCAAATCGTAGCAAATATATGACGATTAAAGCACTAGGATCTTAACAGGTCATAAGTTCGAATCCCCTTTTATTTATTTTGATTTTAGTAGCTGGATAATATCACTCGTTCCAATACAAACACCTGCGTTACAGTTTTCAGTCATTTACCTCAGTTTCGTATAGGGATTTCGGTAGTTATTTTCTGACAAGATTTAATAAGCAATCATTCAGATAAAGTAAACTTATAAGGACTTCTGATTTACAGCTAGTGTTTGATGAATGTTATACAAAGACAAGTGATGGCTAGTTTCAACAAAGTATTAATTTCCAGCATCGAAGAAAGTTTGTGCTTTTGGTAATCCCGTGTATCTTTATTCGTAAATCAAACTTACGTCTCCAGTTTTTTGAAACTACTTAGTTAAATTTTCTAACATATGTGCCTGCTCTTACGTTGTAGCTGAATGACTGAGTTGTGCAACGTTTTTCATCATTCCTAACTGTTAGCTATGGTTACTAAGTGTTGTGACAACTAAATCTACATGCCGATAACCAAAGGAAAGAGCTACTGACTTTTGAAACATGTTAACTAACAAATACTGTGTTATAAGGATTTCTATCACATCATATACTGAACTAAGAGGTGCGAGTGAGTAAGAAAAAAGATGGTAACACAGACTTACGATATTACGTTTCTTTATTTTTTCACGTATTTGCTTAATAGGGGCCTTGATGTACACTAGTAGATGCGGTTTCCAAAGGTTGTTTATGGTCATCGTGTGATTCTGTTTGAACCATAATAATCCTACGGTTTTAAAAAGATACCAACAAAAATTTACCTCGTTCTGACAAATAATTGCACTTATACATGGCATCAGCGAATGCAAACTCTGAAAACGGACTTCGGTCAATCACAACGCCTTGACCTAAAGAAGAGGATAGTACATATTTGAAGTGTACCTGTATTAAATAAATGACATAATGCTCTTAAGTAATTCCAGTAACGTCTTAAGTAGAAGTGGTATTGAAGATATAGTCCTTTTCCTTTATTTATGAGATCCGGTTCATTCCAAAACATTTCACATGTATAGTATTTTGCATAATTAGGAAGCAAAAAGTTGTGACAGCGAATATCGAAATTTGGTTCCACATTTCTATAAATATATATGTCGTCTTCAGTTGGGTCAGGAAAATACGCCATATCAAAATATTTAGCCAACTTAGCGGCGACGTTAGACTTTCCAGAGGCTATATTACCTTCGACCACTATAACTTTGGAATTATCGTTAAATCGATCCATAGTTTTAGTATTATCAAATAGGAATCTTAGGTAATTATTTCCACAGCTAAAGAAATCATAATTAGGTGGTTTGGCACGCTTTATACTGCCATCTACTGCAAGCTTTAAGGTGCTGTAATAACATCCTTTTAATATTTTGCCGCTCTTCTGCAACAGCCCTGAAACTCTATAGGTCATTTGCAGACAGTACTGCACAGCTTTGGATAATAGGTCTCACTAAGGTCATTTATCATCCAATATTCAATACCGGTCTGCAGGCAGTCTACAGTAGTAAGGATAGAAGGTTTATCGACCTATATTAATTCTAATAATTTGCAACAACGTTGAGGTTTAAATGGTTTCGAACAATATATAAGAAGCTTTGGTTTAGATGGCTTTGATATCTAGTAGCAGTGGGTCATCAATGACTCCAGGTAAGAAACTAGGTATATTTAACGATAGAAGAGAAAACAGTTAGTAAATTATAGTAAAATCATGGTCTTAGTCCTTCAGAATATGTCAGGGTTTTGCTTAGAAAACTCGTGGGAAGTCGCTTGAACTAGCGCACTCGGCAGCGAATTTCAGAATTTGATCACTCTTAAGGAGCAGAAGGTGTGCCTACAGTCCGTTTTGTTGTGTTATGACTCTAGTTTCTGTGTGGTACCCCTGATTTTTATGTTGGGACTAAGCTTAAGTGGGTGTTTAATTGGGTGCTCAGAAGTGTTTAGGATGCTGTAAGTCACTAGGTCACCACCAAAATGTCTGTAATCTAATGCGAGAGCCACCCAAGTTGTGTTCGTAGTCTACAATATGTCTCAGATGAACTACTTTGTACTTTGAAGTGTTAAAGGTAAGTCCGTCGTTGTCTGTTCAATTTTGAAGTCGAGTCAGAACCTCCTGAAATGCCAATTTATCCTCTTAGTTGCAAACGTCTCTCCGGAGTTTCACATTATTAGCTCGGAATACTAAACCCGATTAGGCCTGTTTCGGAAGATCGTTTACATAAACCAAGGGAAGAACAGGTCCTAGTGCTAAACCCAAGAGGACCTTACTAAGATATTCTATGGCCTGAAAGATAATAAAGTTAGCTCTGACTTCAAAATGTAGATTTTTTTGGATATAAAATGAGCCAATCAATTAAAGGTGATTGGAGACCTAATCGTTTGGGCTTATTGATAAGGCATATACGGTTGACTTTATCGAAAACTTTTGGGAACTAAATGTATATGACATCAATCTTACCCTTGCGGTCATGGATAGTTGATCATCTGTCCACCTCAGTCAGTAGGTTGATTATACAAGAGTGACCTTTTCTGAAACCATGCTGTTGGGGTGAAAAGAAGTTTAAAGATGATAAATAGTTGTGTATACCCTCGTATATCAGGGACTCCATAGTTTTTGAGGGTATTGAAAGGAATTCTCCCCTTGTAAATATACAGTCTTAGCGTTATGGCGTTTGATTGTCTCTCCGATGAATTGCTGACTTTTCAATCTTGAATGACCCAAGATCTTTAATGATGTTGAATGACCGAGTTTCAGTAGAGTTATCACCTCCAATGTACTTGTATTCAGCAAAGTCGACTTTAGGAAAATTGAGGTCTCCTAGACTCAGGACATGAATGTATCGGAGACTGAACGCTTAAATAGGTTCCTTAGGCTCTGTCGATAACCCCAGGCCAACTCTACACGACGACTCGAACATAAGAGAGATGGTGCTTATTATGAAAACATGCTTTACCTCTAGATTAGTCTATGTACATAATATTTAGGGTATTTATCTAATATCAGCTGGCCTTGGGCTTCTGGTAAGGTCTGGGACCCTACTAAACATAATAGCAGGATAGGCAATCATCCATTCATGAATGTAGCACGTGTCTCTTCACTTTCGAAATGTTTCTAAGAAACTTCTATTGAATTCCGATTGAATAAAATGTTTCCCAGCGTTTTCACGACATATTTGGGCTTTTGTAGGGGAACTTTCTGGGTTTCCCTAACATTAGCGAATGGGTTCAAAATTACGGTAATACAAATATATCCAAAACGCATCGAAATCAATGCTAATCAATGTAATGGTTATTAATCATCTAAATAATTTCAGTTTCTCTCGTAACAATCTGGGTGTAGAACCGTTTATGCCGTATACTTGATGACGTATACGAATATGGCACACGAAGTGTGAAAATGCTGAGGAGAGAGAAGTACAGTACCACTTCGGCCTACGACTATTTTGACGGTTTTTAGTTTAAAAAGAGATGAAATGGCGAAGTGGTACGTAAAAGACTTAGCTTTTTACGTTTTTGTTGGACACACACCTATATTTCTTGATGTTTAAGGACTAAGATAAAATTCTGGGTACGTCTGGCTGAACAATTGATCATGCCCATCTGACCGTTTTGACAATGTGTGTTACTCGTCGATGACATGATTATTTTGTTAGGTAAACGGTTTGCTGCCACATATGGTTGTTTATTATCCAGATAAGCCCATTTTAGTCTGTTAATATTTATTGTCTGTGCTTCCACTTTCTGCACATCGGAATACTGAGGTATTCTTGAGACAACTTTGAATGTGCCTCGGAAAAAAGGGATGATTCCTGTCTTTGCCGTCATACCTGCATGCTAGTGTTCAGATTCTTGAGAGTATATGTAGTTTGCAACTGTTCACGAGTATCAAATTGCTTATGTTTGGACATTTGAACCTGTAGTTAGTCCCATAATTTACTGGGTCAAGCCTTTGACTTTCGTTAGGAGAACTGATAAACTCTCCTGGCCCTCTTAATGTTGCTTAAAAGGTTATTTCTAATGCCAAAATCTGTGAATTATGTTTGACAACTGTTCTTATTCCTAGCGTAATGGCAGGAATTCTGTCCATAAAGTGGGGTCTGAGTGTGGTATTAGAGCGGCTTTTAGCTAATGACACAAGCGTTTACCATCATATTAGCCTGAAAATGATACGTTGTGCAACGTATTTTATGAGTCCATAGAAATTTTGATAAGTTTTTGAATGGTTCAAATTCAAACTGAACCCGTTCTTCAGTTATTGTTGTGAAAGACGTACCAAGAGTGGCAACTTATTTCTGAATGAAATCTCTGGCCATTGTTTTGACTGTGATATAAATTGTTGGTACGGCCGGGTGAAACCGCGTAAACTTATCTGTCCATCTAAACAAATGGATAGGTAAATGAATTAATAAAACCACTAGAATAAGTTTCATGCGTTTCAGAATGTACCGGAAATGTTTAACAGTTGGGCAAATCAAGAGGAGCTTATCTCCGAAACCAGAGCGCTTGATCTCTGCGAGAGCAAGTCTTTCTGAGAAGAATACAAGTGACTGCCACGTACTTTTAACCAGCTGCTTTAGGCGTCCTCTTCTTCCTTGTCTGAAGATTCTACCATTAGGCAGAGAGGAATCGGGATCTTGAACATACATGCCTGGGTTAGCTTGTTCTCAAGATCATTCATAGCCTTAGTAGCCCCATAAATCAGCTTAAAATATTTTGCATTAAGTCTACGGGAATTTGTCAACAGATGCACTATTTATGCACGACTGAGTATGTCATCGATCAAAGTTAGTTAGACCCGGAAACTTTCTAGTTTGTGTTAAATAACTTGGTACAGGATATTGTTTAGTAGTCCCTGCCTCTTTTAATCGGTGTAATCCCTTCTGAGACTTTATACATTCGGGAAATCTCAGAGTTTGAACTCCGAAAACACCTATATTGATGTGTGTTTATTTCATTTTTACCTAGTTACTTTACTCCGACTTACGTGTTATTCATGTAATTTCAAATCAGGACCGTCGATCAAAAAGTTGTCAATATGCCCTCCTGCAAACGGCATATCTCAAAGCAAGTCCTTCACAAACACCTTAAACATTTGTACCACGTCTCTTAGGACGGATGTCATGCGCACAAACTCCAACAACCCAGAGTTCATGGTAATAACTGTCTTGGGAATATCTTTTTCAGTTGATGGGATATTGTGATATGTCCTCAATCATTTTTGGTGAATATGATTATACTCTGTAAGCCGTCTGTAAAATCTTGGATGTGAAGCACTGAATACCTACCTGGTACGGTTCGACGGTTAAAGGATTTATAATTGCTGCATGGTCTCCTATCATCTTCATCTATCTCCGAGACTGTGTGTAAAAGTGCTTCCCACTGGCCATTAGACTAACGGACAACACTCAACTACTGCATATATTCAGGTTCGACCCTGGCAGTCTTGCGTTTGTCAGGTTATAATATCCTGTGTCCTGCAAATACAGGCACGAATTCACTATCGGTTGTATAAGTTACTACTAGCTTACTTTTGGAATACCATGCTTGTTTTGATGAGGATTGGAAATTTTTGCGTGCATATCTTGGAACGCTGCAGTTGTTATCGACATATTCTATACCACACTTAAAAATGACTTAACTTCGTTTGTCTCCCGCGTAGCTCACAGTTTCTTTAAACGCCAATTGACGTTTTTTGATAATAATAATAATATATTTCTTCATGAGCAGGTACACGCCATTTTCACAGGCATGATCTAAAAATCATAACATTTTTTGGCTCACAGCATGCTTCGCAACTTAGTAAGTTTATAATTGTTATAAAGTAGACTAGTAGAGCGCTTGCTGTAAACTATGACCTAAAGGAGACGCTTACGTCAAGTTTGTTCCAGATTTCAGAAGTTCCATCGCTGTGCCCTTAGAGCAAGATTCTGAAGAAAGGAAAAAGAGAAACAGAAGAGCAGCAAGGCACTTGGATATGAACGCCAAACGTTGCTTAACATTTTGTAGTAGAACAGACAGAAGTATAATAAACTAGATTAAATTCATATTATCTCGTGTTAGAGTCAAATGAAGTCAGAGGCTCCTTGTAAGAGAATGTAGCAATAGAGAACAGTGAGTTGCGATGTTTTACAAGTTGGAGTAAGCTCACATGAGTAAAGAGAAATCAAGGTTGGTACAAGGAAGGCTGTTTATTAGAAGGGAGTGTGCTTATAAAGGGTGAAGTGTTAAGAATACTAATAGCTATATCTTTTATTGTCTAATTTTTTTCTTGTTTTTGTCCATCTGATGCCAGCCACACAATCCTGGTATAAAACTCCGAGTTAGCATGTGATAGGTTGTCTTAGTAGAATAGATAATCCAGCATAAAATTGGAGACATGAATCTGAGTGGTGATTAAATATTCATGTCTTTCCAAAAATTTAACTCTCAGTGGTGTTGGATCCAAATTCACTAGGGAGAACACCTAGGGGAGTAGACTCTTAAGCCTCAAAACTGGTGTCAACGTTTTCTGTTCAAACGTAACCACTTTAGTGTTATTGATAGCTTGAAGTTAGGCCTTTTTCTGAGGAAAAGAAAAGCAACCTAGGTTACATGGTGGGGGGAAAAATCCAAAAGTTGTGAATTTTTGAATGGTGAAGCCTCGGCAGAGGATGATGCTAAAGCCACTCTGGGTTTCGGATTTGTCTTGCAAATACTCAAAGTTTTCTCCTTGAGCGATCGGAGTTATGTGTACAGATAGATTCTACCAAACCGTATGTGAATATAGTCAAGGAAACTTGGTTGACACAGTTTTTGGACAGTATGGAATCTGATTTTAGAAGTTTCACATTCGTAAGTGTCGACAGAATCTGGAAGCTAAAAGGAAGAAGAGCTATATTAGTTGGAGATACTAACCTGTTTACTTAAACGATAACATATCCCACCAAACTGCGATGTGAAAATTAGTTAGTAACCGTTTGAGATGCAAGGGGTAAGAGCTATTGATTGGTGTGGTCTACTGTAGTCCAAGCTGTGGCCCGAAAGAGGTCTTGCTAGACAGTCTCAATACTTGGTCACAAGATGGTTGATATTCAATCTCAGGAGACTGCAATGCAACTACGTACGCCGAAATATCTGAAAATTTAATTGTTGGAACATTTCTTCGAACGGGATCTAGAAGATACAGTTATCACATGTGTCCTCGTGCAACACGTAAAAGAAGCGACCAGGAACGACCCAGATTCCAGATTATCCGTACTAGATCTCTTACTTATTCATTATGAGTATGACGTCACAAAGCTTATTATATGCCACCATTGCTTGAAAGGGATCATGCAGTTCTGGTTTTTGATTTCCATATAATTATCAAAAACGAGCATGTGTCAGCCCAACCCAGACCTAACGTCTAGGAAGCAAATATACGAGGCATTATACACTCAGCATCCTCATTAGATTGATACCCGTTGAAAGGGCTTTGGAATCATCCAGAAGTTTGTACTTAAATGTCACTGCGCCACACATCCATTAAATTACATCGAGGGGTCCCTGAAACTACCCATAGTAGCCGAATAAAGCGTTTCGCTTCTTTTTTTCGTAAGAGGAGAAAAATGTGGGAGAGATTTAGGTTACTGAGGAGACGAAATCCCAATATCGAAAACGTCGAACTATTTGTGCCTCAACTCTTCACAAGTCTAGAAGGCTGTATAAAAAAAAACTTTTCAAGGAAGCTACAACTAATGCTTCCCACACGACCAATAATCACTCCGAGGTTGAAAGATAAATTACCTAGACTAGCCACTTCCTTCTGTATCTATCAATTCAACTGCTCCTGTGGAGCAAGTTATATTGGCAGATGTTCTAGGAATTTGCACATTCGGGCTTGTGAGCACCTACCCATGTGGTTAAGCAAAGATATAGTCAAGACGGTTAACAGCACCATCTCAGACCATCTAGTTCAGACAGGACATACGGCGAACATGGAGCAATCTTTTGCAATAATCTATCGTGTTAACAGCAGTCTACCTGATTCCGTCAGACTGCGAATCCTACAGACGGCTGAAGCAATTGCTATTCGGACCAAAAAGCCAGAGCTTTGCATCCAAAAGAAGTATGTTCAGCCACTCCTTTTACCCTGGCCAACTTTGGGGCCAACTAGTTAATAATCAATTTTATAATATGGTGACGTAATTTGATTAATCTTCATTTTATGTCCCAAACTTATTATTATTATTGTTATTATTATTATAATTATCTTTACGACTGTGATTATTATCATTACATCTGATAACCTTTTTGAGGAATTTATTCAATATCCACCCCTAAATCTACTATATCTGACCTAATTCATATTATTCCACATATTACGTAATTTCCGATTTTTATCCCAAGATTTTTTCTCCCATACCATGTTGACTATATTTATTCTGATTATTTATCGCACAATTTCATTTCACTTATAAACTGATTCAAGTTAACACTTCATATTAGTCAGCTCCAACATTAACGATCTGATTTGATTTTATACAACAAATAACAATTCTCAATTCACATATTACAATTTCCAAATGATGTACTCTGCCTTAAATCTGGCCAATTCTATGGATTATTAATTTGGATTTATAATTGTAGAACCTGATGAGAAATTATCGAAAAGAATATTCTTCGTTCATACAATTGTGTTTTAATATAATGGAAATTTTTCAGCAATTTAAAAAATGCCCGAAGCGCTTATAGTCGTATATAAACCAAAAGACTGAGAGAAGAGAAAATGTTCTAGCATTATGGTGCAATAGTAGTGTTTTAGCATTGGTGGAGGGCGACTGCGAGAAACCCTAAGGTATGCTCAAACTACTTTACCAATGTGTATGCTGTAGAAGCGCCCGTCCATTCACTTCGTACAAGACAAGCCCACACACGTATATACACACTGGACACTGTGACCATCAAAGAAGTCCATGTATTTGTTTGCTGAATGAGCTTAATATAAACGAATCCATGGGATCTGATGAAATTCATCCTAGGTTGCCATATGAACTAGTGAATTTCGTCGCGAATCCCTTAAACATATGTTTTGATCTATCTGTAACCCGGGTTCGATTATCAAAAGACTAAAGGAACGCCATAGTAAGTCCTGTCTTCAAAACAAGTACGAAACATAAACCCAAGAACTACTGGCCCATATATCTAAACAGCGAAGTTTTTATAATTTTATAAGTGATTATTTGGAAGTTGTCCAAGTACCTCGATGAAAATCGGATTCTTCCTGAAAAGCAACATGGTTTTAGAACAGGTTATTCTTGTCTCACTAAGTTATTGGTAGCCCATGAAAGTTGGTGCAATCTTAAATATAAAATGCTATCCACAGGCGCAGCCTGCATTGAATTCAGTAGAGCCTTTGCTGTTAGGTAATACCGGGGTTGGAGGCAAATTATTAATGTGGATAACAGACTTCCTAATTGGGCTCCAATCAAGAGTACGGGTGAACTCGAAGTGTTCTAGCTGGGAAACTGTGCTTAGCGGAGCACCTCAGGGTACAGTTTTGAGGCCAATGTTGTTCCTCCTGTATGTAAATGGCCATCAACATAGGTTTTGTTATTTGCCGACGACATCAAGATACGGAGAGCGATAAGAAATAAAGATCACTGTATCGGTAAACAAATCCTCAAAACCAATAGCTCTGTAAGTCCTCGACATTCGATGCTGACCTCATTAGGTTTACTAGCTGAAGGTGCTCGGTCGCGCATCTGCACCATATCACAAGTGAGTACGTCGCGCCTTACATCTACAACTGCTAGCCAGCTTACATTAATCACTTATCGATATATTGATAGACTATGTATCTTCGAACCTCTTCGTTTCTGATTCATTCGACTGGGTTGGCGTAATTTGGTTATGAAATTTGTTTCTGGTTAAGGCGTTATCAAACTACGAATGCTTGTGGTATTTTTAGGTCTTTTGCCATGTCGATGCTAAGACATTTTTGAATATGTATACAGTATTTGTTCGTCCTAAACTCAAGCACTGCATACAAGCGACTAACCTCTGCCCAAAAAGAGACAGTGAACTTCTAGAAAAGCTTCAGAAACCAGAAATAAGCTGATTCTCAGAGTAAAAAACCTCATGTATGATGCTCGGGTGGCTAAACCAAACCTATTACCATTGTCATATAAAAGAACCAGAAGCGACTTGATCACATATTTAAAATTACTTAGTAATCAATTTGCATCTGATATGCCCTCACTTTTGTTGTACTCTGAAACAAGGAGTTTACGAGAACACTAAAAAAGTTCACAAGTCCAGAACAAACTATTTGTCAGCTGACTATCGACTTTCTCATCGAATCATCAACGAATGAAATTCATAACCTCAAAGCGTGGCTGAAGCTCCATCTGTCGACGCTTTCAAAAAATGGTTGAATCAGATGAAAAACCACTATTTTCAGGACTAACACAGGCCACCTAGACTCCTGTCCTTCGCAAACTGGGACCGAAACTTAGTTTATCGTATATTTAGAAATTATTTAAATTTGATACATGGGACAGTACGAAAATACTTTGGGGCTGATATTTCGTCCCTTTGTTCCATCGGGATAAATAAAGCTCATAGTATAAGGAAGACGAAGTTAAAGGCCAAGAAACAACAGAATGCTCCTGGGATGTAGTTTTTTTCTACTGACTAGTTAACAGGGAAGAAGTGCTGCATGCCACTTCAGTTGACTGACCTAATAAAATAATGGGCATGTGCGGAAGGTTACCTGGAAATAGTTGACAGAGGCATTCTGTTCTGAAATTACGAAATTGAAAGACCTTCGAAAATCTAAATCTACACTTTGTTTAAGTTAATGACCTCTTATGTGCACCGCGCTCTAGGACTCTGTCTTTTTGAGGTCAACCCGGATTAGAAATTATGTCAGGAAGAGGCAAGGCAAGAAAGGCAGCTGGCGGCAAGAAACACACAAAATCCAATAGAGCTGGCTTAGTGATTTCCGTTAGTAGGGTTCATCGTTATATGAAGAAAGGTCGGTATGCTCGGCGAACGTCCATCGCTGCATCAGTGTATATATCTGCTGTTATTGAATACTTAGTAGCTGAAGTAAATGAATTGTCAGGGAATGCTGCAAAAGCAAACAAAAGGTGGGGGTTTTCATTATTTTTCGACTTGGTCTCTTTAACGTCTTAACTAGAATTTTATAATATTTTGGCACTAACTTGTTCTCATTTTCAATGAAGTAGAGTCCATACTACTTTGTATCTTATAGAAATAAGTTTAAAATTCTCTTAAGTTAGGTATTAATATGTTTTGATGCGAATTAAAGGACTAACCATTTTACGAATATATTGTCGTTGACCCGCATCTTGTTTGTCAATAATGCTTGCACTGTGTAATTAGTGTTGGTTCACTTCCAGAATAAATATGTGCACAAGTTTAGCAGATTGCTCCTGTGTCAGTTACTTCGGCATATCACGTTCGCAGAGTTACATGAAGAAGGAGTGAAGATCGTCGGTTAACACATAGACATTGGTACAAAGAGGCACCAAATACATATGCGCCACACAAATCTCATTTGATATGTGTGAGGGCTGTGATACTGCCCGGGTACCCAAACCGAAGCAGGTAGTTTTCTTAGGGGGCCACATCCCGAGCCTTCGACCTAAAGGTCTGATCCACAAGGCAGTGGAGCACCGTAAGGAGATGCAGTCCCATGGTAGCCGGTGACCAACGATTGGTTCATACGCCATTTGTTCCCGCAGGATACTGGAGTACATGTGCACCATCGATTTGGGATCCAGTTAAGGCGCTGGACATTCGCTTTTCGTCCCCTCATTTTCGTAAACAACACCCCTTCCACGAGAAGGTAGTGAGTAGGACTCCCCTGGCAGAGGCTGTATACGCGTGGTTATGTGACAGCATTTCGAGAGGGAGAGCGAACTCTCCCCACTCTCCGCCGTACCAGAGCATTTGTGAGGGAGGGCAAGTACATAACTTGCAATGTATACTCCCCAAACAATTGAATTCTGCGTAGATCATCTATGCTTTGGTTCCTACTGAGTTTCCAAAAGTCCATAACTCAGTGGTTAGAAACATTTCTTGTGTAACCCTTACCTTTGGGTTGTAGAAAGAATTGAGGACATCGGTTATGCGTAAGGACCTAAACTTGAAAGACTTAACATACCTCGTGTTTTGTATGGCAAACAGCATTTCACATCCATAACAGTCTGTACAGACAAAAAATTATGGGGTTTCCGTTTAATTTAGAGATGGCTCATGATAAACCGATATGCTTAAAGTTTAATCTGACTTGCCAGTTGGTTTGCATTTTATCAGTCCACGATTTCAGTATTGGATTTCTTTTGTCAAATAAGTGTTAGATATGATTGGAAAATATTACATGAATTTTAACCCATCATAAAACCTAGAGTAAATATGCACTAGAGTTAGTCGTCATCCTGCGTTTACACAAGTTGAAAACTAACAAGATAAATAGCATAGAACTAGTCGTGTCGCTGGACGTCTGCATCTACTGATTATGGTTCTTGTACAGACCCCAAACAGGTAGCCCATACATATCAATATGATTCAGACCAACAGTCAATACCTCTTGATGAATACCACATTCTGGTTTGTCCACCTCTAACTCCCAACGTACTTGTACATCAGCTAACATAGTGGCGGTTATTGTATCTAATATACAGAATCTAACAGTCTCCACATGTCTTATTTTCTTATCAGGTATACTCTTAAATTCTACTTTAAGAAGCAAAAATATTGCATCTCTGTTTGGTAATCACAATAAAAAAATTACATGTATGTACGGTATGTACAAATACGAATAACTGACACACAAAAACCGTCTGATGTGTCTATTGCCAAAGTTAATACTACCGTTTAAAACTTTCTTTCTGACATTGTTTAAACTTCGGCTTGCGTGTTCGCTTTTTATAGACAATAAAGTGCCTCTAGTTCCATCAAGTGGTTTGATATATATATATATATATATATATATATATATATATATATAAAGCTAATTCTTTTAGATAGCAACTAGTCAATTACAAAATTGTAAACTCATTAAAATGCTACCAGTGTGTTGGTAAACACAATTGCTAAACTGTATGTTTCCCTTTTAAAATTGCGAGTCGTTAATTTACTGTTCGTAGAACATATTTACATGGGGTCGAATCACAATATTTCAAGTTTTTAACGACAGACTTAAATAATGTGATTCGCGAAATTCTTGAAAAACTTATTCATTTAGTAATACATTTTCCATTTCAGAAAAACTATTACACCAAGACATATAATGTTAGGAGTTCGAAATGATGCTGAGTTAAATGAATTGTTAAAGCACGTACATATTAGCCATGGCGGAGTCCTACCATGCATCCATCCTGCTTTATTAAAGAGAAAGGGTGTGCTCACGAATTCTCCAGGACAAGGTGGAGCTGCTATCTCCGGGACAAGCTTGTCTTCTCGTCAAGCCTCTTCTGGCATCACCTCAAGTGCAATGGTGACCTCATAAAGTAAATATACAAACACGTTTACTCCTTATGGACTATAACTTTTGTTTTTCCCTTTCCTATCTTTTCCATAAGTTGTCAGGGTACATGGTTTCATTGTATTTTACCCATCATTTGAAGTATTGTAGTTATTCTACTACCAAAATAAATACTCATACTTAGGATTGTTTTCTTTACTAAATTAAAATATTTATTAAGAAAACTCATTTGTACCATTCAAGTTATCTGTTTCAGCTAACTTTGTGTACTTCACTTTTGTCGTTTTCTTTCCTTTGTCAATGGTTAGCGATCTTTTTAATACGATTGCTAGCCTTTTTTTAACTGAATGCTTTAGTCATATCTGTTATATTCTATTCTCAATGTTTTTCTTTTGCAACATGTTGAATAAAACGTCTAATAGTTCTACCAAATTGGTTCTTACTAACTAGTCATTCGTATACTATATGAAGATAGCGAATAAAAGCATTAGGCTACTGATATTTCCTACCAATCGTAACCAACACAAGGCTATACTGACTCTGTAATAAGTTACCAAGAGGGTCGTTTTAGACCTGTTGAGGATGAAATTGTACATGGAATTGTCAACTGTAAGTTGGTAAGTACTTTCTAATCAGCATCTGGAATAGTATTATTCGTTTTTCCCTACGGTTTGTCGTTGATGGCGTTTGTGTGTCAAGTTGTCATGTCTATCTTTTGGCGGAGGAACTGAATATTATCTAAGTACTCCAAGAAAATATGGTATGAGGACAGTGCTAATCAGCAGCCAGAGCAAAGCATATCCTAATCACTGTCACATGTACCGTCGAGAAACTTGGTTTCAAGGTCGTGGCTTGATTTCCTTCATAAGTATACAGATGACTTGAATCCCACGGAATGCGTGTTTGGCGCCCTCGACGTACAGGTACTCATAGTATGACAAATCAACTGTGCAAAGAATCTCAGCTACGGTCGACACAATAACGACGTAATATGGAGCAGAGTGAATTCAGCTGTGGAAACAACAGTTGAGACATCCAAAGTTATTAAATAAATTTGTATCAATAACTCATAATGATGGGTCGAAAATACGTGATTTCTAAATAGCATAAATTAATGGAAGCTATAACTGGGATTTTTTCCAGTAACAAAAGGAGGAAAATGACTTTCAGTGTTTGGAGTTCTTTGAAACTATCTCGAAACAGAGTGCTTAGCGTACAGTTAACCCAAATATGTGTTTGTGATAGTGCTAAATTAAAACAATCCAAATCTTGTACACTTAATTTCATATATTGGCGCTAATGGGAGTCCAGTAATAACGGTGTTTTATTTAAGATTTATCAGATCTAACTGGTGGTAAATTACTAACATCCATGATGGTGGATAAGGGCTCGATGTGTAGACGTATTGTCGTTAGAGTAATATAAAAAGTGTGATTTTCCCAAGTGGATTATCTTGTGATAAATAATTTACAGTAAAGCCATGGGGACAAGCTATCTATTGTTGCAACATTGAGGTCTCCTACGTCTAACTTGATGTAAAGAGGAATTTCGCAATGCCATTACTGGACGATTATCCATATACAACACAATTATCCTGACTAAGCAACGACTTTAAGACAGTATATCGAAATTTATTAGAAAACTAACCAGGTGGTTTTCGAAAGCACTCGGTTTAACCCAAGTGTTAGGCATTTACTCGCGTTCGCTTTAAAGTCAAACCTACAGATAATTAATTACAGGATCAACCTAAAGACATTGTGTATAAACCATTGATGAATAGTTTATTCATTACGCATTGATTAAAAAACTCGCAATACCAAATAAATATACACTATATGTTTCACTACCACACGCTTCGTAATACTACGCATATCTTATCAGCAAAAAGGAAGCAGAAAATGAAACACAAAGAGCCATATAACAAAATATAGATAATATGTAGCGCAGTGATGAGTGAATAAAATTGCTACCAAGTACACATCAACATGATTATAGAGTACAGAACAATAATTGTCGATTAAACCTAGTGAACTCAGTTGTATTAGGAGTAGAATTCAGCAAGTTCACTATCTGCAGAACACCATCTGGAGTGGTTAAGCAAAGGACATCCAAGAGTTATATTTTTGTTCACTTGATTGATTTTGACAGTCTTTCGGACTCATCACATTCCATGAAAAAAATAACATATAATTCACGGGTTTATCATTAATATACCGCTAGAACGATCAAAATTCACAATTATCAACGGGATCTTCGCATTCAAAAGTTTGTAAATTCCTTTTTCTGCCTTGGCTATCGATATAAACCATACCAAAATGGGTTGGAGTAGAGATCACGTCCCCTCTTTTCCGGAATTTCGCTTTCTCATAGCATAAATTTAGTATTCGTCTCTTTACTTATACATAACTATCATCAAGTCGGCTTTTATCGAGATGCTTTGCTAATTCACTTATTAAATATAGTGTAATCTGTCAACTATTGAATTGCATGTTTTCAGTTGTCCACAAATAAATACTTTGATTATTATAAACGACCTTATTCTCCTATTTATGGGCCCCCAAACGCCCTGGTACGGCCGAGAGTCAGCTCTCCCTCTCCAAATGCTCTCAAGCGGCCACATGCATACAACCACTTCAAGGGAGGTCCTACTCACTGCCATCTCGCGGCATTACTGTTGTTTACGAAATTCCGAAGATGAAAAGAGAATGTCCAGTGCTTTAACTGGATTAGTAGACATCGAAAGTTCACCTAAGAGAGCTGGAAAACTCTGATTCCAAACCAAAGGTGTACATGGGATCCAGGATCCTAAGGAAACAAATGGAGTATGAACTAATTATTGGTCACTAGAATCCATGGGTTTGCATCTCCTGAAGTTGCGCCACTACCCTGTGGATCAGACCTTTAGGTCGAAGGCTCCTTAAGAAAACCACCTGCTTCGAATTGGGCACTCGGGTAGTATCCCAGCCCTAACAAAAACCGAGTGATTTATGTGGCGCATATCAGTTTGGTGCCCCCTTGTACCAATGTTTATGTGCTTAAATAAGTAGTTGTTTCACTTTAACTACTTTTTACTGTATGCCTGAATTGGAATTTCTATTTTACTGAAATTGAAATAGGACTTGTAATTTTAGTTGTCTAACATTTAATTACCAAACATGATAACGAATTTGGACAGCAATCACTGTTCAATTCTCTTTACAGTTAGGTGTTTGTGAGTAGAATTGGTTTTTAGAACCTTGTAGATCGGTTCAGAATTTACGAATCTCCATGCAACTGAACAAGTATTGTCAACCTATCCAACAGACAAAAACACGCGCATTTCCTTAATGGTTCTGGCAAAAAAACTACTATTAGGTTGTCTAATGTAGTGAGCCAGTCAAAAGTTGTTAAATGAGGTCACCTAATGACAATCAGAAATGACCTTAAAGGGTCGAATGCATACCAATGATTACGTAACTCGTAGAAATCTATATACAAAAACGAGTACCTATTCATGTTATTTGGCAGCCCAATAGATATTTTTTTGTTCAAGTAGTCAGTCGGAGGGTTAGTACGTAGTATGTTGTGTATCAGCCTCAGATCTGGAAAATCATTCATCATAACACTATCTCATACACATAGATGAGATTTACGAACATACGTGAAACTTAACTCTTTTCGCAACCATAAAAGTTCAACTCGTTCCCAGAATATTGGACAATACAATTTATGCCACTATACGTGGAGTACATGTGGAATCATACTTTGTCAAACTTTCTTAAACCTTCTTTCGACTAATTACTATACATCCATGACCCTGCTAGGGGTCGAGCCAAGCACCTTTAATCATTGTAGAGAGCCGACATCTGACTTAAATAAATTTGGGGATAATGCTAGTTCCCTGAATGATATATAGTAGAATAAAACCACATTAGTTCACTTACAAACTATTCTTTTTTCTTGTCAAATAACTTGGATATATCACACAGCTTTGTTATTTGTTAATTAGAGAAAGAGATGAAGTCCTGTTTCTTTCTCATCCGAAGTTGAATTATGTGCGAAAGAACCATAACCTTTAAAATAGATTTCTTAAGTTCTGAGACACTTTGAAAATGTTAGATTTTTGTGACGCAAATTTTCAATAAGAACGCTATCTAGTCTGAAAAAAAAACCACTACAGAGAAGTGGTTTGTTTCCATAGTATGAACATCTAGTCATAGCTACTTTCTTCTCACTGGATTTATAGAAATCACTTACTGAAATTTAAATTTATCTATAAGGTACAGACTGACTCATTTACTAGAAAGTATAGATTCATATGCTTGGCTTTGAATCACACTCGAAGTATATGAGGGCTAATATGATACGACCCAGTTACTTTAACCGAAGAAACTGAGTGAGCAATTTAAAACCATGATCAAGTTGGCTGAAAATTGAAAACCATTATTACTGCTCACTTATCGCTTTATATCTATGGACGTTAACTTGAATCAATAAAACTCAACAGAGGTTAAAGAGAAACACGATGAAAAAAAATACCCACAACCCCAGAGAGATAACGCTTTATTTGAAAAAATAAGAAACCTGAAATTAACTTCAAACACATCGACAATAAGCATCACGGTTAAAAGTAAAACAAACAAACAAAACAACAATAACAGTAGCAACAAAAAGGACGTACAAATCACTTGACTAAAAAGGCGTTTGACTTAACATTAGCAGTTGAACAACAACACGATCAGTGGTTAGTTTTTTTTAAATAAAAAAAAGTGACTATGGTTACATAGGAATTAAAACTTATACATATATCTATATAAATATATTATGTTTATGTACATTTGTACAAGTTTTATGACTCTTGATTTCGATTCAATAATAAGTAGATACCCATAATGCCTAAGACAGAGTACTAAAAGTAGGTAGAAAGAAAATATATAAATATAAATATGAAAAATTCATGATTAATAGTTTAAACAACATTACACAATTAAACGTTCTATTGAAAACAGCTAGAAGTTACCATAATTTCATGTTATTTACAATTC